GACCGCAAAACTGACCGGAGAATATTTCGTTTTATTGTACACGGCATAAATATAAAAAGCCCCGATGCAAAAAACCTCGAGTCAACTCAGCAAATGCCAGATGTTCGCAAAAAAAAGGAATTTGTTTTATTACAAAAACGAACTACGCATCGGCGAACGTTCGGTTTCCGCCCGAATGCAGTGCAGGTGACCCTGAGAGATGTCAAGTTTCAAATATTGCCGTTATCTGAATAAAAAAGAAGAAAAATTAAGAAAGAAAAGAAAACGATGCTGGGGAATTTTCGATGAGGAAGCCACCGAGGAAAAGGGACCCAAGAGACTCGTGGATAGGACGCACCCGCAGGGCGAAGCCCAAATCCGGACGAGGATCCTCCAGTCGCTTTTGGCTTCGTAGCAAGGCAGATCTGGGGACTCCATATGCAAGCACCCCTCATGACCCATCGCGCAGTCATCCCCATCACCCATAATCACGCAAGAACGAGGTTGCCAGATCCGAGGATCACCGCGGCGCGGATAATCTTTCTATTCGTTTTCTACCTACCTACCCTTTCGATGAGAAATGGTGGCCGACGAAGTGCGCAAATACGCATCTGGAGATGAATGGTGTCGGGTACCGGGAGCGGGCCCTTTTCTCATAGAAAATTTTACAAAAGTAGCTTATGAGTTATAGGTTATAACTAGGGTTCCGTGTCTTCGGTAGTTACCGATAAACCCCGAAAGTTAACCCCCAGCCGGTCTTATCATAATCGGGGAAACCGAAAACCCCCGAATCGGAGCTTTCCTACATTTATATTCTGAAGGAAATAGTTTAATTACAATTTTATTTTGTGTTTATCTGAGACACAGCCAGACTAAACCGTCCGCAAAAATACATTTTTATTTTTGAAGGGGGTACGTGTTGGGCGGGATAGATTTTTACTGCATCTCCTCTTTTTATTGCTAAGGGTCGTTTTCTAGGATATTCGGTACACGAGCATGTTCTCTCAAGGTTGCGGAATTTCATGTCCGTTCTACATAAGGACCGATAAACACCGATTTCTCGTCCGACAGCGAAAAACACAATTTGTTGGGGGGGGGGGGGGGGGGGAGGGGGAGGGGGTGAACTCCGGAAAAACTCTCCCAAATGAGAAAAAAAAAAAAAAAAAACCGGAAACACGAAAAACTACTTATAACTTTTGAATGAAATAATGACCAGTCCTCAAGCTTTATTTACACCTGGTCGTGAGATACAGCGCAGGATTTGGCCGCAGAGTGAGCGTTCGAGGATGCGTAGGTAATTTTTGCGGTGGAAAAAAACACTGCAACTGACATTTTTACTTTTCAGAGCCATCCGGCAGCTACATCTCTGGAAATATGGGTTTGAATATGGAGTTGATCATTCCGACCCCTCCGATCTCGAAACCCGATAACCAAACGATGCGTATACGCAAGGACCTCAGTGGAGTATCACTCATCAAAACGATCTACTAAAACTCCCCAATAAGGTAAGACAACTTTTTGAGAAAAAAATAAAAAATAAAAGCGCAGGAGTATTTGCTTTTGTGTGTTCCTAAGATTACCAATTTCTGAAAGTTGTTTTTATTATTAATTTTTTTGTCTATAACTTTCCAGTATTTATTATTATTAATTGTTGTTGGTTGTTGTTGGGTACGTGCTTGAAAGGGGGGTGGGGGGGGGGGGGGGGGACTCTGGCAGCTCAGCGCAATGAATGAAGCTATGTTGGAGATACTGCTTGATGTGATTGTTTTATGTCTCTTAGTCTCGGGCGAATATTGATTTGATTTAGAAACTCCGAACTTCGTTTGCAGCGTCGTGCTTTCAGCATCAAATTAATGTTGCAAATATTTTCTCCTTTTTTAGTGTGTGTTTATGAGTAAACGATTGTACTTTGTGGGGATCGAAAAGAAGAAGAATAAAGATGCCTCGTGAGGCAGACCGAACTAGCTCGCGCTCAGGACGAGCGCGGGGTAGAACGGGCGTAGACACCAGTGAAGCGGCTGTCTTTTCTTCAGTCTCCACATTGGCGCCCAACGTGGGGCCCGAACCCACGACCCTGAGATTAAGAGTCTCATGCTCTACCGACTGAGCTAGCCGGGCCAACAGTGACGGTCAGAAAACCTACCAGAAACTGTGTCGCGTTGCCACTTGGCCGAGGATGCGCCAGGATGTTCTCCGCTACACACGCAGTTGCCTACGTTGCCAACAAGCCAAACCCAGGGGAGGTAAACCCCCTGGTTTGATGCAGTCAGTGGAAAGTCGTTATCCATGGGAGATTGTTTCATGTGACATAATGGGCCCCTTTCCACGCAGCCCCAAAGGGAAACAGGTATCTCCTGGTAGTCACCGACCACTTCTCAAAGTGGGTGGAGCTTCACCCTCTCCGCCAACTGAGTTCCAGGACCATTTGGGACAAATTGAGGGACACCTTCACCCGCTTCGGGTTCTGTTCCCAATTAATTTCCGACAACGCATCCTACTTCACAAGTAAGGTTTTTGAGGACTGTTGCGCAACACTGGGCATCCAGCACAAGTGCACCACTCCTTACCACCCTCAAGCAACATAGCTGAGAGGGTCAACCGGAACCTCAAAGCAATGCTAGTGGTATACACCGAGAGACATAAAGACTGGGACAATTACATCCCGGAAATGGCTTTCGCCACTCGAACTACGGAGAACCGTACGACAGGGTTCACACCTTCCCAAATAAACTTCGGACGCGAGCTGCGATTTCCCCTCGAGAACAGCTTTTCCGACGATAATCGAAGACCAAACACCTCGTACGCGAGATTCGCTGAACAACTTCGTGATAAAATCACCGACGCTGTGCGAGTGGCTCGACAAAATATTGAGTTAGCGCAGCTCGGATCAGAGGAACCAATATGACCAAAGGCAGGAGATCCCTAGAATTTTCAATAGGCGACTGCGTTCTCCGGCGCGTGCACCCGCTTAGTAATGCAGCAAAGGGATTCGCGGCATCACTAGCTCCTCGTTGGGAAGGTCCCTTGGAAGTTGTTTCACGGGTATCACATTTGGTGTATAGGTTACGACATGTCGAAGACGGGTTGTTAACTGGACCCGTTAACATTTGTGATCTGAAGCCGTTTGTTTCTAGACATGTCACCCTTTAGGGATGTCCTAAAGAAACACAGTCCCCGTCAAGTTTTGCCGCACGAAAGATTGTTGCTCATGGTTATTTTCTATCCAGGCATGCCACCTCGACGCAGCAACACCCATTCCTTCCGACGCTCTCGGAGCCGCTCCCGATCCCCCCTACGCCCCCAATTCAACCCACGGGGCCACTCGCGCCGCGCCAGGCGACATAACCGCCGTCAGGCAACCGCCACGCACTGCCGAGGCTGCCACCTGGTGCGTGATGGAGGCCGGTCGAATGGTCACATTCGCGTCCCGGATGGCCTGGGAACACCAACCTCAAGTGCCACAAGGGACTGCACCAGAAGACGTTCCCCATCCCTTCACGGCGACGGACACTGACGGAGCGCTGTGCTGCAGATCTACCCGCCGCCTACGACGAGGAAGAATATGCCGACATCTGTGAACTTTGCCGCGTCCCACTCATTTCATGCGAACAACATCATCAAGGAGCACTTCACCACGACCGAGAAGACCGCCAGCGGGCGCTGGTGCGAGCTGAATCACGGCCCTTACACCTGCCGACATCGAGGCCGCCCTCCTTATTGTTGGCCGTGCCTGCCCCGAACGCCTGCGCCGAACACTACCCTTACCACCAGAACTGGCGAACATCAACTCAGCGACGACGAAATGTAACCAACTGATTAAGAAACTCCCTGCCCCCCCCCCACCCCCCCCCCCCCCCCCCCCTGCCAAGAGGGGGATGATGTGGGAATCGAAAAGAAGAAGAATAAAGATGCCTCGTGAGGCAGACCGAACTATAGCTCGCGCTCAGGACGAGCGCGGGGTAGAACGGGCGTAGACACCAGTGAAGCGGCTGTCTTTTCTTCAGTCTCCACAACTTATACCCCAAAAGACCTGAGGATATGCAGTCATTCATTCGTAACCACAAAGCAAATTCATAAACAGTGGCGACCAAACTGTAAAGCTATGAAAGGAACTAAGAAACAAATATTCACCGAAGTCACAATGGATTGTGCGAGGATATAGTGCAAAAATTGTCGATGAACAATATTAGTACGACAGAAAAACAGTTATTCATATTCTTGAGGTATCAGGTTAAGCTAGTGTAGATAATTTCCCTTCCGAGAAGCCCAAAGCATCATCCCCTTACTTTATCAGGAAACTATATTGAATTAAAATCTAAAATTTCGTTACGACACCTCGTCATGCGTATGTGGCATGCTTTCATTTACTGCGTACACTTATAGCCGGATAGGTACGTTGCCGTTCCGTAACCACTCGCTTCGCGATTTATGAATGATTTATTTACATTGTAATAAATAATAACATCGCACGTTCAATGCTATGCGAGCGGCATCCTAACCCTTCCCCTGCGTGTGCTGATGAAGTTGACCTGCAACGTCACCAATGCCTGGTTCACAAGTTTTGTTGGCATTAGAGACCCAGAAGGCGCAAAACCCAAAACACAAATGCACGTTTCTTGGACAGCGCATCAACCATCCGATTTTAACGACACTTGTTGTTGGGCTGGTTGGTGCGTGATACACAAGAAACATCTTAGCCGCGGTTACACCGTTAATACATTGTACAAAAGACAGTCTGCTTACATTGAATCAGGCATGCATGATACCTCCTTGTGAAACGATCCTGACATTGATCATTAAAAAAAAAAAAAAAAGAAGATGTTTGGGGCATTGAAGGCAAACACGCCTAGAATTTGCGTGAGGCGTGTCAGCGGACACTTCTGTTATTATGTCTGCGGTGAACGCGGCCAGAGTGACTTTAGGCTTTAGACGCCAACAGAGACGAACAAGTGTTAGTCTTGTCCGTGCCATTTCCTTTGTGTTCATCCCTGTTGGCGCTTATATCCGCACGTCTTGCTAGGTCACTTCCAGAAGTCCTCTTCTTCGCTGAGCGTCACGTAGTAGGCGTCTCCGAGGGACGTGAAGTTGAGGGCTTCCCTCAGCTCTCCGAACACGGTCCTCAGGCTGCCCACGGTCTGGCTGAACTGAGACAACAGCGGAGGCATGTCCCTTTCCAGCTTGCCCACGGCCTTGGACAAGCTGGAAGTTGACGCACGCAGGGGCTCGAAGGCGTCGTCCATGAACACGCGGAAGTGGAGGCTTCTGGCCGCGGCCGAGGAGTCGGCCACGTCCGCTTTGACCATCGCCAGCCGGCGCATGTCGTCTTCCAGAGTGTCTACGTATTCCTTGCCGTGGGCCAGCGGTGTCTCGGCGCCACGACGGATAGCTTCGGTGACCTGTGTATAAAAGAAGAATGTTGCTCTTGCATTGGAATCGGAACCCAGTTTTCACCGTTCACGTCACTTCTGGTCGGGAGAGGAAGGAAGAGAGAGCACCGAACTACAATATGGCGACCGGTAAAACAGCATACGTAGCAGTCGAGTCACGTCGAAGTCACCCTGGAACTCAGTTAAACTGGACATAAACCTTTTCTTTTGCTATTAAGGCTTATTGTCTGAGATATCTTATACATTTGAGTCCTGTACCCCCGTGAGAAACTTATGAGCCAACGACACACGAAGTAATATTTTCATGGCGTTACGCGACGCTGGTGATTTCTCTAGTGTTTTCGTCCCGAAGTTTCGAGTAGATAAACGGAAAAATAACAACCAACAACATAAAAAAAGGCTTTCTTGAAACTACCAATGACTTCTTCTGTGAACCTGTTAAAGGTGCTCCTACAAATCTACTCTCAAATAGCATTCTGAAGCGATCCTTCGAGCGAGGAGTAAAGCCGGAATCACACTGCTTATACATCACAGAAAAGACAGTCTGAATACAGATTCGAACGCGAGTCTCCGCGAGATCCGTGCTTCGAATGCCGCATGGCAATCAGTTCAAGGAGAAACTTGGGCACGCGGCGTTCGAACCACGGATATTGTGTTTGCAGACTGTCTTTTGTATGATGTATGGCCAGTGTGACCCCGGCCTTGGGGAAATTCGATCCTAAAATTAAAGACACAAAATTTACCTAACGCAGCGAGTTCCAACAAAATAAGGAGGGTGTGAGTGAAGCTGGTAGGAGCTGGCCTCACCTGCCGCAGATGCTTGGCAATGTTGGCCCTGGTACCGCCAAAAAGATCGGCAAAGATGCTCCCCAGTCGATCTTTGCGCCGTTCGCCGGTCCCGTCGGCGTGGTACAGGGCACTGGCTGTGGTCGGCGACTTGTGGTTGTTCTTGACCTCAACCACGGGGACCATGAGCGGCCTGCCCGGTCGATCCATCCCTGGACGAATGGCTTGCTTGGTGCCGCCACCGACGATCACGGGCCGACTTGTCTGGATGTTTACGGCAGGCTGGCTCATCGCAGCGCTCTGGTCCATCTTTGCTGTTGTTCCCACACAAAAGAAGGGTATGCATCACGCTACTGTGACAGAATTGAGTTATCTTACAATAGGAAGCTTTAAGAGAATGTTCCATAAACTACGCTAACAATACCCGATCCTCCAGCAGCAACCTTTGAGCACAAACCGTATCGTTGTCAGAGTTACGAGAAAAAACTACGAAAGCTCTACAATTCTAACTGTATGCCCGTTGGCAACATCAACCTATATTGGAACTTCGCAATAGCCTGAGAAGTTTCGGACCAGCTACCAGAAGTAGGGAGTTTTAGTAAGATAGTTCAGACTTATACTTTGATAACGGTACCCGGTGCTCCACCGGCGTCTTTGAGCATGCATCGGATCGTTATCGTGTGTGTTATCGAATTTATCGAAACAATCCACTTATAAAACCCTGATAGGGAGTGTAGACTGTTCCGATAAGTCCGATCACGATAATCGTTATGGATACGATGAATACTCGAAAGCGCTGGAGGGATACCGGGAACCCTTATCGGAATTATCGGTAGGATCTACTAAAACCTTCCAATAAGATGAAGCTAACGGGAAAAAATCTTGCAGTTGGCTTTGGTGATTACTGACAAACATCTTGCACAATATGCCACGTGACATGTTCACATGACCAGCGTCGGATAAATTTGGTGGGCGAGACAATGAGGTGTTTTAGTAGATCGTCCCGACACTTCCGATACCCCCGATAACGATACCCGCTAACGATACGATGCATGCGCAAAGGCGGCGGCGGAATATTGGGTATTGTTATCGAAGTCATCGGAACGGTCTACTAAAACTCTCCAATGCCTGCTAAGTTTAACAGGTGACGTCACTTCCGTGTCTCTTTTTACGTTCCTCTTTTATGATGCATATTTTTCCACATAACCAAACCTGAAACGTATACTTTATACGCTAATGACGTGAAGCGAACACGAAGACACGAAACAAACGATAAATACACGAGGCTAAAAACGGAAAACGGAAAATGTGCCCGGAATGTTCACGTACCGAGGATGCGACTGGAGCTGAGAGCTGTGAAGTTACGCAGCTCGTGGAGCATATCTTGGAAGAGATGTTGCTCTTCGGCCAGACCTCTCAACTGTCCCGCGATGCCCGAGGTCACCTGGTCGCCCATTTCGTTGGCCACAGTTACGCAACCGTGACCCTGAGCAGCAGTGATTGGGGGGAGGGGTGCAGAAAGGGTATCGGACATCCGGGTTCACGCCGGTGAAAACCTTGACGCATGCAGAGCAACAAAACAAGCCTGCGTTTGCCGACACCATCTGTTGAACTGCGCGAACGCAGAAACCGTATATTTGCGTGAAGTGAAGCTTCTGTGCAGGCGCAGTGCCGACAGCAGCGCCACCGCTGTGGTGTGACGTCAAACAAAAGACACTCTGCAGACCAGATGCTACAATTGTCTGCGGAGACGCCAAAAGCATGTTCTAAGCATGTTTACTTCGTTCGTACATGGGTAAGCTTCGAATATGTATGCAGACTGTCTGGTTGTATAATGTATAGGCAGTGTTATCGCGGCCAACCTGGAAAATTTTGAGCGAGGCCGAAAATTACCATCTCTTCTAGTACGCTAACGGGAGAGCAAAGAGGCCTTCCCTGTACGAATGTCGGGAGTCGACACAATTCGTAGTGGGTGCAAAAGCCACGTTCGAGAGGAATGGCGGGTCTGTATATCTTCCAGCTCCCTTCAATCTGCAGGTCTGCCTTTACGTAATCAGGACCAGGTCCATTTTAGATACGACGACACGAACAAGCAAGATTTTCGGCATATATAATGGAACGTGCGTCTTCACTGCCTAATAGATTATGGTGGTATACTAGCTATTCGTCCTAAATTACAAGCACTAATTTTACCATTAATAAGAATAAGACTCCGTTTCATCTAAGACGTACCGGCGTATCATGTGAGGTTCTGGGGGGCTATGTTGCACGTTTTGGACTCCCAGGCGACTAGGGAGAAGGAAGTGACGTAGGTGTGAATGAACGTATCTTAGCAGCACCACGCATCGCGTCATCAGCGACTCCAACAATCAACATCCACAGAGCGTTGTTGACGTCACTTCCTTCTCCCTAGTCTCCTGGGGGGTCCAAAACGTGCAACATAGCCCCCCTGGTTGGGCAAAGCGAGGCGCGCAGAGCGTGAAGTCACGTGGCACGCGAGGAGCACTGGCCTGGCCAAGACAGCACCCGTTGCGTTACATCGTAAGGTGAAACAAAGTATAGAAGGTAGCGGCATCCGAAACCAGGATTGAGCACCCCTTCTGGTCGGATGTGTTTGGCCAACGGATGTGTTTGGCCAATAGAAGGTTGATGAAGACCTAGGTATTTTAAAGCAATTAGGTATAGATGAATTCTTCTGACCTTGGTCGCAGAAAAGCCTTGCTTCGCGGATAGATGTCCACCTTGTCCCGCCATTCTGAACAAAATGCAAGATTTTCAAATGTAGTACCCGGTGTAATGTATTAGTGTGGTGACAAAAAACGCTCTTACCAGCCTGAATTTGACGCTACAACCTGGAGTTGATTACACAGAAAGTACAGGTTTTGTAATGCACGCGTCCACTAGAAGCAGGGTACCGGCCACGAAACTCGAATTCTATGTTTCGAAAGGACATGTAGCACTATAGGTAAAATGTCAATCTTGTTTTCTCATTACGTAATTGTGCTCTTTGTAGGCACCACCTTCCTGCTCATTTTTAACGGGACTCACTTGCCCGTTCATGGAAGCTGTCTTGTTTGGACAAAGCTTTAGTTGGTATTAAGATGTACGTTAATATAGATTACACCAGTCTCTATATTAGTCAAACACCAAGAAAGCAAGACGTGTCATACCCGTCCCGATGAATGCTTCGTTCAAGTCTGGCGATGGCAAGATCCATTCGGCCAAGACGAGGTTCCATCAAGGACACCTTGCTGACCAGAAACTCCATGCCGTACTTCAGCTCCCCGAGAAGTCTCTCGCTACGCCAGTGAAAAAGTATATCAACTCTCTGAAAGACGAATCGGTGCTCAGTGAGAAAACAAATTAAAATTATTCTAATTGTGAACTCTTGAAGGCGTTGTAGGCTGGACGACATCAGCGATGTTCGAGCAGATCATCAAGCAAAAATGCAAAGAATCGTGCTCTGCGTGTCGGTTTATATACAACGTACAATTTGTGCTCCAGTAATAAATTGACTTCCACCTGAAATGGAGAGTGACTCTCACCCTCCGCTAAAAAAAAAAAAAAAAATTGCTTGGTTTAGGCAATAGTGTCGGGTCCTCTCCAAGAGTAGAGCAGCGCTCTACCAACTGAGCTAACAGGAGCTAGCCGTCTGTAGAGCATGCGAATGTCAATTTATTCTTGCGTAAATATTCTCTGCCCTGGGAACCTTCCCAATATTACTATACATAATTTGTGCTGGTAAACTTAATGGCAACAGAAATGACAATAGAAATAAATAACATAACAGAACTAACACATCTAACGGCCTAATAAAATTACAAAGTAAATTAACATAACTATTTAATAAACCTTTCAAATTACACACACGAACACTGAAAAAGGCTTGGGTTTTAATTTGCAGTGGAGTTTAAAGTCGCGAGCTGACTGTTATCAACTGATGCACCGCTAGTATTTAATGTTGTACCTCTATTTGTCGACAAAGTATTACCTAATTTCCACATTAAATAAAAACGAATTGCTGACACTTCTAAGGAGAAGGTGAGGGGAAGAATGAAGTCAAACCACGCGTACTCACAAAGCCAGCGGATCCGACGTCTTAGCCTCAGTAGCGCGCGTAGCCGGCTCCGGAGTGGACGAAGCCGTCGTCGCGGCCGCCATGACGGCATCACTGACCACAGATAGCACGACGGCAACCACCAGGGTCTCCATTCTCGCAAAGAACTCGCCACCAACGTTCCAACGACCGTCTTTATAGCCCGCACTTGACCTTGTTCCGAGCCACAGAGCCGGCCCTCCTTCCCTCCTCAGCACCAGGTACCACGGTCGCTCCTGACGACGGAAGGATGTGTCGCGTTCCAATTAAGCGCCCGTTCATGACCGTCTTCGTCCATGTCGCTCATGTCGCATTTCCGCTCCGGCAGGCAGCCAAGCCAACCAGTAACCGAGCAGGGCGAGTGAGCCAGCACCGGTCCCCCCATTTTCGCCATGGTCCGTTTCACCTCAAGGTGGACCGTAGCGGACACTAGAAGCCACCGGAGCCAATTCAGAGCTCAGAAGCTTGTCACGTGAACTTCCCGTTGGTCCTGGAGCAGCGCGCAGAGCGTACGATAACGCAGCAAGGGATAAATTGGATGAGACGGCTCGTAGCTTCTGCTTTGGTCCATCCCGTGGTGATAGAAGCACGCTCGGCTCTTTTTTTACTGGGTCAGCGACACTAGTAGCTGAGATGACTCTCAACTCGGCGAGATGATGCGTCGGGTTCAACGAGGCGACCACTAATGCGCCATTGTTGTGGCAATTCCCGGTTGTCACGACCGGAGTCTTCCAGTGTTTGAAGAAGAGTTATTGCGCGATGGTGGCAGCGGCTGGCTCGTTGTTTGCTGACATTCACCTTCTTTGTTCTGACCCGCTGCCATATTGTTCTCATGTTCGCACGGGGGCTTTGAAGACGAAGAGGATTATTAAAATCTGACCGAAGAAAATAATTACTCCTTGAACCCGTAAAATGAGTGATATAATCGTGGCTTGCCTCCGGTCAGAGGGAATAAATGAAGGTATACGCACAGGCCGGCATATTGGACAGGAGATCGAACTATAGGGGGCGCTTTATCGAGCTTGTTGGCCCCACTCGCCGGTGTTTACTAACTAGGGGTGTCGCGAACTTTTGTCGAACCAGACTTTTAGGTCGAACTTCCGGGGTTCGACTGAATCGAACCGGTTCGACGAACCTTCGACCTTTTCACCAGTTTCGACTGGTTCGACTTTGTGGACAGTGTGGCCAGGCCTTGATACAAGCATGACTAAGTTTAAAAAAAAATTTGCATGCAATTTTTATTTTAATTTTATAAACAGTTGCAATTAAAAGCAACCAATTCTAATCACTGAACAGGTTAATAACTTAATTGTTTGCACTGTATTAACTGAAATAACCAATCAGCGCTGTCCTTAATTCATTCCTTAGTCATCACCATCTAATCCGAAGTCAACTGGCCAGCCTGTGCCGCATGCGCACACGAGTCGAACGTCAACACAAGGTTCGTCGAATTTTCCACTAAAAGTTCGAAAAAGTCGAACCTGGTCGAACTCGAACCTTGGCCGGTTCGCGACACCCTATTACTAACACAGCATAACAATTAAATTGAAGCTCGCCTAGCACTGTCTGGCCACGAGCGCTTCGCACTGGCCAGAGCTTTGGTCGCACGAAGAGCGGCCTTCGAATCGCCATCTTGGGTATCTCTAAAAAAAAAATGGTTTGTTGTCCACACAGCTGAAGCGTACCGCTAGAGGCGTGACTAATCGATCTCCACCCCAGTACGTGTAAACATAAATCAATGCAAAAAAAAAGGTATTGCACACTATACCTTGTTTTGAAAAAAAAAAAAGAAGAAATCTTGTAATACTTATGTATTCAGGTTGCACTCGTTTTACTAATACTTCAATAATTCGGTGACTTGTTCCGGTTGGGCGCATTCAGCAATCGCTAGAAGAAAACGAGACAAACGCGAAAGTAGAATTAATGACCGGGAGCGCACTTCGTTTATTCACGAGCTCAAACATCGCTGGTCTCCCACATCACGCAACACATGTTTGCTACATTTTTGTTGCGGACGTCCGTGTGAACTTTGTGAGAATGCCCCGCACAGGGAACGAAGAAGCACAATGTAGCCAACGCGGATGTCCGATTTAAACCGATTTCGGATATTCCTTGTGACGCCAAGGCGTAGCCAAGTGCCGCAAAGTGCAGCGACGTGCAACGAAGCGGCACGGATGCGCGCAGCCGATACGGGTGTCCGTTGCGTGACAGAGAGACAGGCAGCAGCGCGACCGACGCTGCTTTCGGAACACGAGGCCGGAAAATGAATTCGGTGAACGTGCTTCTTTCACGGAGCGCGCATCGCGGAAGAAAAGACAGAGGGAAAATAAAGTTTTCGCGAGGAGAAGTGTGGGTAACTGGTGCGTCCTCAACGAGTGCCCCACCCCATCCATGCTCCAGCCGGATATTCAGGAGGGCCACGCTGAGCTGTATTCGGTCTTCGAGACAGGGAACCTGGATGAAGGCTCCTAGCTCAGTGTATCAGTGCTCTCTGAGTTTCCTTCGAATGAGATAGCAATTATTTTTTAACACATTTGCATTATCTACAAAAAAGAAAAAAATTATACGAGGTTTCACGTCCCCCAGAACTTAGCTCGTTACCGCATGGCGAAATGATGCAAGAATCAAGTGTACAGGAGGGCACTATCAAATTATATAACTGCAAGATAATAGTATTGGCGGCGTGCACGAACTACAGGGGGCGCTTCTCTAGCTATCATCGTCATCGTTTGTGACGTCATGGGTAGGACAGATTGGGACAGTCCGCACATATCTTGAATCCCTCGCTTAAAGTATTGTGTTGTGTGTATGTTTCTACAGCCTAGAACTTCGTCTGCCTCAACGGGCGACGAGTCTCCCAGCTTTAGATGTCGTGAGTTGGCTTCACGCGCTGTTTGGTTACGCTGGCTATATGCAGACTTGTGCCTATCTCAAATACTCTACTCCAAGATACTGTATTTCAAATACTTTTTCAAGTATCTTGGTATCTTGCAAATACCTTTGATGGAGAGTATTTAATACTCTATTTTAATTACAATCCCGAGTATCTTGCACTCATTATCTTAAATACATTTTTGACATTCCGCCATTTTCCGAGTTTTTCGGTATGAAGTGGGGTGGGCGTGGCACGGGCAACGTGGACATTCTTTCGAGCAACCGAATCCTGTTGCTAGCTCCGATTAGCTACGGTGACTTTAACTGAGCTCGTGAAAATATCGCTTTTTTGCCGACTGTGACTCATATTTTAGCCCTAAGTTCGTAGAATGAAGGTTCTCCTTTCACCTTCCCAAAGGCGCCTTTTGTTTCTATATTGTCTCCCCCCCAAAAAATCCTCAAACCAAAGGTGTGGTTTTACGCAAGTAAAGATGCCACCCTGAGGCGCAAGCAGACCGCAAAACGACCTACGAGAACAAGAAATAACAAATAGAAGAAAATGAGAAGTGGTCACACACAAAAAACTAGACATTTTTGTTTTGCTTTTTTTACATTTGACCTCGCGTCGAGTTTTTTTTTTTTTTTTTTTTTTGTCAGTCCGGTATTTATTGTTCTTGCGAACACTGTCTGTAAGCGAACATTGATAAACAGAGAACAGGACAGGAAATGGAACTAGGAGCTCGGTGACCTCTCAAAATACCAACAAAGTGTTCCCCAACGTTGAGCGTTGGGGAACAAAAAAGTGCGACCACTGCCGTGGCTATTATGTGGGTTCTCTTTGTTATCCAGTCACTCATATCCGTGTCCCAAGTTCGTTTATAGTGAACTCCCCGTATAGGGAATATGGACTGTAGTTAAACGATGCGTCTAAGGTGCGCCGCATGATGTGATATTTAGCGATGTCACTATTGGCGAAGCGCTCTGACCCGTTTGTCACCCTCACACCTCGGTGTTTACCCAAACAAAAGGCCTCTGCACATGCCCACAGGCCTTGTGGGCATGTTCGTGTCATCTTTTTTTGGTTAAAGGCCTGTTCAGACAAGCAGCGGAGCGCTACAAGCATATATCGCCGACCACGCGCTAAGCGCGTGCTGACGGGAGCTTTCACCAGCTTTGTATAGCACCGTCAAAGCTGTTGCTCATGGCAGACGATGAGTAGCTGACGACACATGAGCAGCACTACTAAGGTGTTCTAGCACTACATCAGCGCATCGCTGCAGCTTGTTTCACGCGCTGTGCTGATTTGGTAGAGTGATATTTTTAGCAGGACATTTTACCAATACTGAAAGCCTGGCACGCGCGTTCGTTCTAACAATAATTTTGACGCTGAGATGTCGAAGCGCTGGGATGGTGGTGTGCCGTTTTGTACCCAATACAAAAATGTGGATGATGAAAATATAATATCCAGCGCTTTACCCCCCACTGGCGGCCATAGCTGTGTGCGCGACTGCTGAGCGCGTGCTGATGGCGAGCTCCCAAGGTTCATTTGCAACGTGCATTCCGCACCATCAAGAGTGCCGGTCTTAGCAGCCTATTGATGTAAGCTCGTTCTGAGCATGCGCTCTAAACAGCACCCACAAATATGGCGTCCAGTGAATACTCCCCACACGGTGTAGTTTAACGCGTAGCGTTAAGGAGCTCGTGTCCCAGAAAAGCCGGCGTCGGTGGCGTGACGGCAATATCCTGATTGGTCGATAGGTTCATGGCGTCACAGCCGCATGACCTCACGTGGGAATTTCAAACAACCTACAACGCTCATGGGAAACGTGACGTCACGCGTGGAATGAAAGTGATTAAAAAACATGACATGCAAAGCGAATTAAAGGTCGCCGTATGTCCCAAATGATTTCCCTTAATATATAAAATAATTTATTTGCCTTTAAGAAAAATTTGAAGGATTTTAGGCGGGATTCAAAACCACGACCTTTCCGCAGGAAGAAAGAGCACGAGAAGCGAATAAAAAGGCGATGCGAACGGGGCCCGATAAAAATTCGAAAGTGCCCCAAGCTTTCTCCCATAGGGTGTCGTGGAGTGCTGTGGCATTCACAACACAACATTCAAAAGTTCGGTTACTGTGTACTGTTTTTTTTGTTTTTGTTTTCCTTTTTTTTTTTTTTTAAAGTGGGATATGGACAAAAACGGGGGGGGGGGGGGGGGGGGATGTCTTGTCAAACTGAAAGTGGGAAAGCAAACTTTGAGAACCCCTCGCGTGCGTAGTAAACACTTCAGTGAAAGCGACTTTGTGTATCCTCTTGGTTCCTCTTGGTGTGCACTGTAGGTGCTGGTCTGGTATGAGATGCAAGTTGATTCCTTTCTGAATTTTTGTAAATCAGTAAACAGACATTTCCTCAAAATAATTTGCAGGAAGAAACGGTGGCTGGCTTCCGGAATCGTTTTAATTAAATCCCCGCTTATTCAAACGGTCGACGCAAAACGTGCGAGACCTCCTCGCGATTGATGTCATAACTATAGTCAGTTTGTGACACTTCAGCGTCCCAAAAATGAGGTACGCCTGCTATGAATTATTTCCCTTTGTATGTTTCATTTGGCGGACCCAAATGTTCATAATGCGTGATGCGCTTCTCAGCGACCGATTTTAAATTTGTAAACAATTCTTAGTAAAAATTTGACAGAACAAATTAATCAATCGCCTGAATTGGCCGGGCCATGTGTGACAATATAAGAAATTATGAACATTTCTGATTTTCTTCCTTCTTCTACCTCCTTCTACAGCAACTTCACAAATAAAGCAAACAAACGAAAAAAAAAAACAACAAAAAAACAAACAAACAAGAACGTTGCGAAAGCTGTATTTGATAGCTCCAGCACTCTAAAAAATGTCTGTAAGTCTACTTCCACGCACACCACTCGGAGAGCCAATCACCGCAACTTACGGAGGCAGCTCAGCGAATGACCCTGTCGAAACATATGTTTAGACCAAAACACGCAGTTTGAGTTGTGACATTAAGCAATGCAAAACGTCACGCTTGCATTGCTTAATGTCACAACTCAGACTGCGCTTTTGGTTTGAAACATGTGTTTCGGCATTGTCATTCGCTGAGCCGCCTCCGTAAGTTGCGATGACTGGCTCTCCCAGTGGTGTGCGGGAAAGCAGACGCATGGGTTTTTTTTAGAGTGAGGGTTATTTCTGGGCACTTCAAAGATTTGTGTTTTTTGTAACATAAAAAGCAACTTTGAGGTGGTTTTTCTCTTAGAGATTACTCACAAAAACGTCATAAACGTTTCTCTAATAAACCGTTTTTAATCGGCCGTGCTTTGGCATAGCGCGTCGGTTCTCGGATCCAACCAGCTCCGTAACAGGACGGCGCCCGCGAGGTGGCGCCACCAAAACATCTCCTCGCCAATCGGACTCTAGTCGTCGGCTATGCAAAAGTAGAGTCTTTATTTCTGTTCTGGCGCTGTGCGATAACATAATTATGAACTCGAACTAGTTGGCATTATTGCAAAATTGTAATTGAATACATTTTTTTCTTTACTTTGTTTTTGTTGGTACCATCATGTATTGGAGGATGAACAGCTCACTGTAGTCACCCTGGGATAAATATGGGTTGGGGGATGGGCGGAGGATGGGCAGTAGAAAAATACGGTTCGAATTCCTGCCGAGTCTTGCGTTAGCTATGCCAGTAGTGTTCCAAAATGGGCCGTTTCTTCGAGAGCGAAGACAAGTTCGCCAAAAGCAATGTCGCGCTCACGGACGCGTATAAAAGCATGAGTCGGAATCACCCCCCCCCCCCCCCCCCCCAAAAAAAAAAAAAATGCATTTGCACTGCCAATCAGGGATTCGCCATTCCGTTTGCACCACGCCCCTCGCGATCACAGCCACCGCAGCGGTCAAGCCTGCACATCGTGACCCGCCGTGACAGGTGTTCGCATTCGTTCTCGAGTCCATCCACGTCATCGGACACGTGCGAAATGTACGAACCATTCGCCAGAACTGCCGCCATGCATCAATGGACGCAATCAAGAAAGGTGCGAAGCCTCGAAGCGCGAACGAAGCGAAGTCAGTCGAAACGAGACTAAACTAACAAGGTGAGAACAGCAGAAACATATGCACGATTTTATTTAGTTATTTTTTTAGTATAAGCTTTGACGACAAAGAGCGAAAACAAGCACATTTTTCAATGAATAAACGTAATTCCGTTTCACTTGGAACAAACAACGGGCGAGCTAGTATTCCCAAAAAATGTCATTTGTTTACACTGCATGGGTATTTTTTTTTATGATGCTCAGGAAAAGGTAGAAATTAAAGCACTTCAAACAAGTTTTTTCTTTCCCCGTTCCAGTTTTTGTTATAAATTTAACTTAAAATAGGAAAATTATCGTTTGGTAACGGAACAAAAGGAAAGACTCACTCATTGTTTTTCCTAACTCGAATTTAATGGGAAATGCTGTGGCATTGTTTCTTTACTTTATGAATGTTCTTTTATAAAATATGCTAAGGTTTTGTCGACGACGTGAAAGGCAAAAAATTTACTTGAAGTTTCAGCACGATATTAGCATAAAATAAAATATTTTTTTTTTTAATTTTGTTTTCACAGTTGCACTCTCCAGGCATTTTTCTGTCTATCTAGTGAAGGAAAAGTGTCGGGTATTACATTAGCTTTCCAACGAGAGCTTTCCTAAACAATGTCAGTGTGTTCCTGATACAAACGACTAGAACTACTTTCACAACTCATGTACGCAGATGAAAGTTTGCACATCACCCTACCTCGCAATTGCCAGTCTGTAAATTTCATTTATATTAGGCCAAACTATAGGCGTAGACTATGGGGGGGGGGGGGGGGGGGGCATCGGAGCTCGTAAACCCTCTAGTAAAAGCCCCCCCCCCCCCGGGGCCCGGGCCATGATCCTTACCGAGACACCCCCCCCCCCCCCCTATCGGGAAAATGGAAAGTCTACGTTGCTGGGCCAAACATTTAAAAGTGTACCCTTCTGGGTAGTGTACCGCCCTTAGCGAACATTGTCTTTAAAACTTGCCACCTTCCGTGCAACCTACTACTTTTTAATTATTTTTCCATAAGCTGCTTTCAGTTTTTGCATAGTTATCACACGATTCATTTATTATTCTTTAATGCAATTACATTCGTACTAACGATGCTATTGTGAGGCGCTTAGTTGAATTTTGACTTCCACTACTATCAACTTACCGTCACGCCAAATAATAATAATAAAAAGCAGAGCTCCTTCTTCTTATTGAACACATAGAAAAAAAAACAAAAAAACTTGGAAGTACGCAGATGGCAAGTTTGCTGCTGTACACGTATACAATGCAAAGAAGACCGTAGTTTGAATCAGCACGCGAAGTGACCAGGGTTAGGTTAAGCCGAGGTGCAGAAGGCAGCTAACGCCTTTCGAATCGGTACAGCCATACAGGCTATACAACAAACTTATGGGACACCCCGTGTCCTTGCAGGGACTTGAACGCGCGCCGCGCGTTTGGAGCGCGAATCGAGAACAAGTTCGACGGCCAGGGCGAGCAGAGCCGCGGCCACCAGAAGCACCGAGGAGAGCAGGGCCGCCCGGACGTGGTGCAAGCCCAGGGGTCCCAGCTCCGAACGCCGGGCACACGCAGCCCAGTCTGGCAACATCCGCGCCGTCCACAGGTCTAGCAAGCCCGACTCCCGAAGCCAGCCGAGCCTGTGCCCACAAGGAATCCCAGGATGAGCTTTCACAAGTACAAAACGCCCCCCCCCCCCCCCCCCACCGTCCCCCCCCCCCCCCACCAAAAAAGAAAAAATTACATTGTTGTCGTTGTTTTTTTCTAAGAATAAACCGCGCTTCGCCGAACGCTCATTTTTCGCGAAAATGTAGCGACAGCGATTTGAACCAGATGCCAAAGCTTCAAGAACGGTGGGAGTTTTGCCCAGCTTAATCTCAATTCCTTTAAGCCTCTGAAACCGTCGGTGCGTTTCTACTGAAGTGCACGTCTGAAACAAGTGAATTCTCACCTTTTTCCTGAGGCTCGTGAAATACCACAGGAAAGAATTCCCATGAAAAACGTAATACGGGACGTCCCATCAGTGACACCATAAAGTTTTGTTTAGAGAGCACTGCTCCAGCATTAATATCACGTGACTTCACACGAAGGTCCGAGTAAAGGCGCGTTCACACTCTTGCAACCGAGTACGACCGAGAAAGACTTCTTGGGACCGGATGCACTGAGCGGAGCTGGTCCTAAGAGATCGCAAGAGGCTTAAAAACCGGTTTGGTCTCTCTCGGTCGCACTCGGTTGCAAGAGTGTGAACGGGCCTTAATGGTACACGCAGCAGCTCCCTGGAAGCCAGACATCGCAATCCTTCTGAACAATAATAATAATAAACAAGTAGTAGACAGTAGTTTGCGTTATTATTATCCGTGAGAAGCAGCAACACGTTTCGGAAAATTGCAATTAAAGTTTTGTTCTCTTCAGGAGCGCGACAACGTCAAAGAAACTGGGACGTGGCAGGAGTACTCAACATACACTTTTCGTAGACCGCTTACGCGGCGGATTGAGGACTCTTGCGGGCACCTACTATCGTGGGTACACCTACTATCGTGGGTACTACACCTACTATCGTGGGTACACCTTGTTGGTGTTCGACTGGTGGCAGCTGATAAAACCCGTTTGCTCTACTGACGTCTAACCCCTGGTTAGCTCAGTTGGTAGAGCGCTCCACTTGTAATGGAGAGGTCCCGGGTTCGATACCCGGACCAGGCGGATTTTTTCGGTCGCTCACCAGTCACCTAGCTGTTGTAGTAACTAGCGATAGATGGCGCCACGTCTCCCAGCGGTGCCGCGTTTTGAGCACGAGCACAAGAACCGTTATCACCCAAGACGGAAGACCAATAGCGTACTCATCGAGATCTTTGACAGCCGCACAAATGAAATATGCGCAGATCGAGAAAGAGATGCTGGCCATTGTTCATGGTTGCAGCAAGTTCCACCATTACATATTCGGCCAACCAAACGTAACAGTAGAATCCGACCACAGGCCGTTACAGGCTATTTTCATGAAACCGTTGCATCAGTGCCCGATGAGACTGCAGCGGATGAAGATGGCTCTCCAAAGATACTCATTGGAAGTAAAATTCATACCTGGAAAAGACTTGCAGTTAGCAGACGCACTGTCACGGTTTCCCACGAAGGAAACAATGCAAGAAGAAGAAGAGAAATTTCAAGTCAATTCACTGGAGCACATATCTGTCACACAAGATCGGCTAAATGAAATAAGAGACGCAACTGCAGCCGATGTCCAGATGCGTCTACTGCGCGAGTATGCACAGACGTCATGGCCCGAGCAGAAAGAGCAAGTTCCTCAGCTCGGAAGGCCATTCTGGTCCTACAGAGAGGAGATCCACGAGGAAGACGGCCTTGTGCTGCGGTCAAACAAGATAATAATTCCAACGGCCATCAGATCCAAGATTCTCAACTTGCTCCACACGGCACACGCGGGCAAAGACAAAATGAAGAGAAGAGCCCGAGAAATTTTGTTCTGGCCCGGAATCAACGCTGACATTGACCGCGAACATGACAAATGCAGCAAATGCGAGAAGTACAAATCAAGAAACACCAAGATGCCACTCCTCAGCCACGCACTGCCAACGCTTCCTTGGCAGTTGGTCGGGACCGATTTCTTCACTCATGAAGGAAAAGACTACATAATCCTGGTGGATTTTTACTCATTTTATTTTGAGGTAGAAGAAATGAAAAGTACCACAGCTTCCAAAGTCAAAGAGTTCTGCCTTAAAGTATTCGCAACACATGGACTGCCGTTGAAACTTATAAGCGACAATGGCCCACCATTTGGCAGCCAGGAGTTCAAGCAGTTCTTGGAAAACCTGAAGATAGAACAAGTTACATCAAGCCCTTACCACGCTCGATCAAATGGCATGGCTGAACGAGCCGTGAGACAGGCCAAACAACTCTTGCGAAAGAGTGCCAACACTGAAGAGTTTTACCGCTCCCTCCTTGAGTGGCGCAACACTCCACGAGACGATGTCCTCCAATCGCCAGTACAGAGACTGATGAGCCGACACACAAGAACACTGTTACCTGCGCGATCGGAACATTACCTGCCGACTGTTGTGCCACCCAAGGCTGTCACACGTCGTCTCACAGAAATAAGGCGGCAACAAAAGGCGAACTACGATAGAAGCTCAAGAACACTGCCAGACATTGACACGGGTTCTACAGTCACCGTCTACAACACCCTGCGGCGCACATGGTCACCTGCCATAGTCGTGGGACATTCAGTGCCGAGGTCCTACGACATTTTAACCCCAGGGGGTCGGGTCCACCGAAGAACCCGTGAACACTTACGAACGGCGACGGATTCTCGACGAGAGCTGACCTCCACGGGGAAAGACACAGCCTGCACGGAAGAGAGTCCCAGTGACTTTAACCAGAGTCAGCCTCACCCGGGACCGCGGCCGCGAAGAGGAACAAGGAAAAGAAGGCCACCACAACGATACCCCAACCATGTTGATGGTGACGCTCTACGCTGACTTTTCCAGAGAAAAGAGATGTAGTAACTAGCGATAGATGGCGCCACGTCTCCCAGCGGTGCCGCGTTTTGAGCACGAGCGCGGAGCGCGTGGAATAAAATCATTCGTTCGAATCTCCATGCTGGCTAATGCGTAATGCTTCCTACAGCTGTGTTTGGAGATTTATGTTTGTCCTTTGTCCCTCTTGTTCCCCTTCTCCAGGGATTACTTTCGACTAATAGGGAGTTTTCGTAGACCGCGTTTCCCTCTCCGCTAAGCCCTCCGCAACGAAGCAGCCGCTACTGCACCGGCGCGCCGATGGCCTTGACTGTAGAGTTCCGGATAGCGTAACTGGTTGCGGAGAGGGTTGCGGGACAGCGGACACGATCTACGAAAACTCCCTATTAGCTATATAACACGACAGCCCCGTGGCCGTTCCGCCCCCAGCGCCACGTAACAGGGGCACTCCGAAACACCGCGCCTACCCCGCCTACCCTGTGCGGTGGTATCCAGGTTGTGATAACACTCTGCTTGTCGTCTGCAAGCCTCGAAGCATGGCGCCGCCACAGCACTTGCCAATGTTTGCTTCGCAGGCTTTTGTGGGTGCTTCTTTCGGAACGACACGCGGAGACGTGTTAGCCAGATATCCAACAAAAGGGACACATCGAGCTAAGCATAATCGTTGCCGATGATCGTATACGTATCTCCGTAGATTACCTTTATTAGACGGGCATATGGAAGAGCATCGTACCAGCGTACGGTCGTGTATCACTACTGCGTGATGCGCGTTAAAGACCCCGGGCTAGCGGTTGTACTGCACTGGCTATATTTCTCATCTACAGCTGGGAGACTCGGTCACCCGTTGAGGCTGACTAACTTCCGGCAGTATAAACATGCACACAACATTATTTATTTTAACTTTAATTATGTTTTAATTATGTTTTAATTATTTTTTTTTCTTGTGTCAGAATTGCTGTGATAAATATGCTGATGGTATGTCCCCTTCGTTGGATGTTTGACTGACTCGTTTTCATGAGTCGGGGAATCTTCTTACCGAAAGGGGCACCCACAATAGCCTGTGAAACAAACACTAACAAGTGCTGTGGCGGCGTCTGCTTTGCGCACTGCAGACGACGAGAAGGGTGTGTTGTCGCTACCTACCTGGAAGAGTAATCCCGCCGCATATGGTACGCGGTGTAGGCGCAGAGTTTCAGAGTGCCCCTGCTACGTGGCGCGGGGGGCACTGGGGCTACGGAATCAGGCAATAGGAACTCGGCGTCGTTCTGACGTCACCGCCACTTCTGCGCAAGAAGCAGACCAACTTGCTCTCCGTACACAATTAGAAAGAGCCGCGAATTATTATCATTACCATTATCGTCGGTTTACGAAACTTAAAAGCAGCACGAAATGTGCTCCTCGCCTGTCGCCGCAACATACAGCAGACCTTTGGTAAGGAAGAAGTTGATCAAAATTTGAAGGTTCGTCGTTTTGAAGCGCGAAAGGTGTAGAACAAATGGTCCGTGCACGTAAGTGAACTTCAGAAAGTTGTTATCATGCATGACGACAAAAATATTTCTATGTCTGTCCCGCCGGCACTGACAGTATCCGCAGATGACAAATCTGCGGATACTGTGCTACCTGAGGACGGACGGGCGACGTGGATAATTCTCATAGCCGTCGTGGTTGGCATCGTAGATGCCACTGATGACTGCCACCAGTGATCTGTGAAGTAAGTGGGTAAGCGAGGTGAAAGTTTCTAAAACCATCCAACATTACGCGTAGCAACTAGACACTGCCAAAGTGGAATTTTCCAAAGTGCGAGTAATGTTTGAAAACAAGTCTTTCAAGCAGACGACACGATGATTCTCCCTTAGTCGCGAAATTTTGGGCGAGACGCTAGGGCTGCCCTTTTCTCTTGTTCCGCACGGCACACCGGACGGGAAGTCCCGACTTCCTTAACTCTCCTCGCGCGCAAGAGGGGACAGAAGAAGGGTTTTTCCATTCTTGGCGCGCGCGGCGACGACAACGGACGGGGACGAAATCTCTGCAAAGTATCGAGAGCTCACCTCTGGTCCATCTTCCTGCGGAATTCGTGCGGCAGCCGAGCGTTGGCGTAGAGCCCGAACGACAGCGTGTTGACTGGCTCTTTGCCGATGTAGAACTGGGAGCTTGGGAAGCGGGCGCAGGTCCTGCCGACCACGTAGCGGAAGCTGGTGCGGTCGGACAGGATGACCGCCGAACCTCGGGCCACGGCGTCCAGATGCGAGCTTGCGTACAGGGCTTCGATGGGCACCAGCCCGCCGTGGCGCTCCACCATGAGCCACACGCGGTGCCAGTCGGGCCTCGTCGAGCGCTGCCGGGAACATCAACCGCCAGCATTTCTGGTCAAAACAAGCTACAGGAGGGCAGCCGATGCTACGAGCTGAGAGGGCCAATCAAACGGCTCTAACAACCCAAGGTCAAGACGTTAGTAATCGTTCAGCGCGTGTGCTATCATCGACGAAACCAGTGCATTGAATGCGCTGTGACCTTGCGGTTTTAGAGCGCAGCTCGCCCGTTTCCGCCTATAGCAAAACGTCGCCGTCGGCGTAACTTCGCTAATTTTAGCGGTAAGACTGACGTCACATGACCTCAACACCAATTCAGTTTCTCCGCTAAATTTAGCAGGAAATTGAACTGATGTTGATTTCACGTGACATCAATTTTCCCGCTAAATCTAGTGGAGAAACTGGATTTGTTCATGGATGACGTGACACGAAGTCATGTAACGTCATTTTTCCCGCAAAAATTTAGCGGGGAGACTGAATTGGTGTTGAGGTCACGTGACGTTAACTTTCCAGCTAAATTTAGCGGGGAAACTCTGGGAGGAGGGGAGGGGAGGGTACGGAGGAGGAGAGAAGGTACAAGGGCATACATCCTCCCCTCCGTAACCCCCCTCCTCCTCCTCAAGAGCTGCGCTCTAATTTCGCATTACAGAGATTTGTAAACGTCTTTCATTTTTGGTGCATCTGTTCGGTTTAGCGTGTAATCTAGCCTTTGACTGCGTCCGGACTTAAGATAAAACGAGTTACAGGGAAATGTCAAGAGGTAACAATATACTCGCGGAGACAGCTTGCTCAACTCGAACAAAAATGTTTTTGAGTATAATCTCCAGGAAAGGGCGAATGACGCTTCGAAACGATTGGTTTGGTGTCTAACATTTGAAAGCGAGCCAGTATGAAGCGGGGCTTTCCCCTGCACTTAAAAAAAAAAGTTATGCAGCACTATTCGACTCCAAACCATTCCTCGCACAGCCTAACCAATTTCCAATCTACCTCTTGTGCCTCATTATGAGCATGTAAAATTAAAAGAATGAATGAATGAATATCATGGACGTTTAATTTTGCTGGCTGACCGTGGTATATAAGGTCTCTTTATTTGCCTTAAAGGGACACTGACAGGGTATTTATGCTCGCCGAGGTTGTTAGTTGTACGTGACATATGAGGGCTCAACTACCCAGAACAGAATTTGCGGCTCGAAATTCGGTTTCTTTCCGCCCGAAAACCGACGATCAAGAATTGGCCGGTTCGAGTCTCGCTCACTCTCTTTTTCGCGGTCACGGGCCGTTTTCTAAGGTATCGATGCGACCACCAAATTTAATCAAAGTCGTGGGTCACTGAAGGCACACACTCAATATTAAAAATAGAAAAAAATATGAAACCCATTTTTTGCGGCTTCTAAAAAGCTGTAAATACGTTGATTGAAAAAAAAAAAAAAAAGTTCCACAGACAACCGGAAGCATTCTGTGCGTTCGTCGTTTCGCGTATCGTGGGACTCGCGGGGACGGCGATGGCAGCGGACGACGGGCGTGGGGCCTCTATTTCAGAACTGTCGTTCGCGGTACCGGCGAATTCTGTCTACCGTTAAAAGAGAAATTTGGGTCTAATCAAAAGAATTGGTATTCATCCCGTACGACACGCCCGACCACCAAGCCGATTTGCACGAAGACGTCGCCGAGCTGTCGCTCCCTTCTCGTGGCTGAAGACAACGCTCGCGCAAACGTCAAGCACGACGTGTCTACTTCGAGTTGAATATGCACGCGTACGATATCTTTACTAGGTGCGAATGTCCCCAAAGCGTGGTGCCTCCCGACTTCGACCCGGGAGTGCTTTTGCTAGAGAAAAATCGACAGCAAACTTTCCAACTTGCAGTTTACCGGCTGAATTATTACTAAGGAAAGAGATCCACCAGAAACGAGATGCCCCAGTAGCTCAGCAATAAAGAAAAAAAAAATGCCCCAGTACCTCAGTGGAAAAGACGTCCGCTTTACACGTGGAAGGACAGAATTCGATCCCCCGTGAATTTTTTTTTTCAAACATTTTCCGATGTTTACATATCTTTTTCTTTTTTTTACAATCATCACTGAAGAAACAAACAAAAAAATAACAAACAAATGTTGTGGACGATACTTCGCTGAATTAAACGGTATGGGATTTTCGTTTTGACACCTGCGAACTCAATGTAATCACTTTCTACAAAATGCAAGGAGCATATAAATCAGGTAGCGTCCGCTTTCCGAGGTGCCCATAAATGTTCTACAGGAATTGCAGCCAGCCATTGGTCCCGATCCCGTTGATCTTTCGGAAACTCTGTCGCACAATGCCACTCTTTTTCGGATGCAGGACATGTGAGCCAGCTCTTCACGCAACATCTTGGGTGTATTCTTTCCGGAGCCGATCATGGACATTCACCACGGGCACTCACTACTCATCTCCAACTCCTCAATGTACAAAACAACTCATCTTGGAGTACATAACAACGAGCGGAACAAACATAACTGCAAAAGAATCGCACGGCAAGCAGTTCCCGCACGCCGCATCGCACGCCGCATGTCGTGTCGTCTGCTACCGGAGAGGAGAGAAAAAAAAAGAAAAACGCACGGTCGGGTGCAGCCACGTGACTTCCGCCAGTCACTCTCTTCTCTCCACTTCTCCGACCTCCGTCGGGTTTCGGTTTCGGTTTCGGTTTCGAGCAGTTGCGTCTTTTGGCTTTAATAAAGAAATACGCTACTCTGTTACAAAATATTAATTGGGTAGTCCTCCGACACCATAATGAAGCGCCTGGCAAAAAATAAAAAAAAAAATTTTGGGGGGTGTCAGTGTCCCTTTAAGACACCACATCATCCCTTAACAACGCCTCTTTCTTACGCGGGGTACTGTCTCGTCATAAGATTGAAGCGGCATAAGCTACACCTGAGACACAGATGTCGATCCTCCACGCATTTTTATTACATGCGCAAAGTTCCTCGGCGTTCATCACCAAGACGCAGACCTGATAGATACCACGGCACTGCGAAACGAGGATGTAATCTTTACACCCTTTCTCGCTGCAGTCACGAACTTAGCGCAGTCGTGCGGCTTTGGAACGTTAACACCTTTCCAGCGGTACCACGAACAAGGCGGTCTACGAATGTAACGTATTCTGAGCACGCGCATTGGTCACGAATGCGGCGTCAGCGTTCGGCGAGCAATCTGAAGGCTCGTTCACATTCTTGCAACCGAGTACGACCGAGCGAGACAAGACCGGTTTTTAAGCTTCTGACGACGTCTTAGGACCAGCTCCGCAGCAGCGCACCTGGTCCTAAGACGTCGCAAGAGACTTAAAAACCGGTTATGTCTCTCTCGGTCTTACTCAGTTGCAAAAGTGTGATCGAGCCTTGACGCTTCGTGCCCCTGAAAAAATGGCGACCGACAATGTTGCTTGATGAGACTTTTGAAAAGGAACTATTAAGCACGCAGTAACACAGGATCGGAAGAAGAGGTATGTTGACTTGTTCGTTCTTATCTGAAGCCGTCGTCTCCATAAACGTTTGCAAGCTGCCGCGCTCCGAGAGCGTCTGGCCACCGTGCAGATGGAACGCTGGCCACCGTGCAGATGAGCGTGGCACGCATTGAATATAAAGGCATGCCATATATAGGATGAGCAGGTATACCCCCAGCATGGAAACGAGGATACTGTTGGCGAAGAGGAGCGGCCTAACAGCGGGCTTCTCTGCCAGCTGACTCAGGCTATCGATCCGCGGCCCCTCCGACCGCACGAGCAGGCAGGCCTTCATCTGACCGGCCAACGCGTGCGCCAAGACCAACGCCGAAAGCCACCAGCAGGCACGCAAGAGCCGCAGGGCAGTCCTGGAGAAGCCGCTGGACTGGCTTCTGCCGCCACCTGCGACGAGGGAACTCCCGTAGATATGATTCGCCGTATTTGACTAAAGTCCGACCGCGCAGCAGCCACACGGTATGATCCAATGGAGCAAATCAAGCAGGGCAAGAAGGGTGTCGTCACGGCGCGTGCACAGTAGTCCATGGCCTCACGGTCCATCATGGTCCATGCCCTTTTCCTTTTTTCTTTTTTTTGCGCGTGATTGGTTTGACCGGCGATAGCAAACCCACGAAGGACTTAATGTGGAACAGAGTATCGTAGCTACTCAGAGGACTATCAGCTGTCTCATCTCCAACACCAAATTCGGGAAATGGAGAGGTCCCGGGTTCGATACCCGGACCAGGCAGATTTTTTTCGGTGGCGCGCCAGTCACCTATAGCTCTGTTTGGAGATTGTGTTCGTCCTTTGTACCTCTTGTTCCCCTTCTCCAGAAATTATTTTCGCCATTCTTGTCCAGCTCGCTTGCACGTTTGCATTTAATTGAATTACAATTATAAAGCGTCCTGTTATGACCTGGCGTAGATACAATCTGTGATCTGCCGAACAATGAAGAAGCTCTTGCTTATGAATCGGAAGCTACAACTTTTCCTCGCTGTTCCACATAGATCAAAGATTGCGCTGCTGTGTGGCAAAACAGCACCCCTCCCTGGGTAACGGGTGTCCATATGGATACTTGTTTTTTAAAAATAAGATATGCGCACTAGTGTCTGCAATTTTGCTGAAAGTTCGAAGAAATTGATATGCGGAGCTCCTGAAACGGATACACGTCTCTTCCGAAATGAAGCGTCTATTTACATTGTGTGGTTTAGCATGTTGAAGGATAGGAAATTACTCATCTTTAAAATTAAAATATTCACAACCGTAAGGCTCTTTTTTTTATTTTTTCGGTTTGCTTCAAGGCTAATACTTGAAAGGTGTTCTAGCATAATCTTTTAGATCAATGATACACCACCTGCGATCCACGGGCCGCGGACATGACATTGCGAGATGTGCTCAAGACGGCAACCAGTGCGATGATGCCAGATATTGAAAACCTGCCTGCCAGATATTGAAAACGCGCGCAGTTCCCAATGAACATTTTTTTGGCCCGCGTCATTTTTGAGTTGTGCACCCTGCAGATGGCGGGCCCAAAACTGAAGACCAGCTCTACGGATATTTACTGATTCCATCACGCGACACTTCCTACATAGTCATACACATGCACAGCGCATGCACCATATAGTTTTCACATAATAAGTAAAAGTATGCAGACGCCATGAAGCACACACAATACTGGAATCACAATCCTCTTGGCTTTCCACAATTTCGAATTATAAAGAATGCATAGGGTGCATGAGGGCAAGTCGTAGGAGCACCCTTTTAACACATGTAAGAATATAAAATAGTGAAATCTTGCGCGTAGTATGCAGTCAACATGTATCAGTAACCAGAAATGACCGCTTCAGCCGCTAATGGCCCAACCTTGCTGTAGAAGGCTGGCGAGAAAAGACCAGAGGTGTTGAAGCCCACGGCGAAGAATCCCGCCCAGGGCAGGCACGTCGGCGATGGCGGCCACTCCGCAGCAGACAAGCAGGGACGCCAGCAGGAGTAACCACACCTAAACAGAGGTTACTAAAGGAACCGATCCATAGGCATGTCTGGAAGCACTTCAAATAGTTAACTTTTAAGGGTTACTATAGAAACAACTCTTGCGAATGATTTGTGACGTGCTGGCCGTTGCCCACGCTCTAGAACCCGGAGATCCTGGGGTAAATCTTCACCATGTTTCGATCTCCATTAGCATCGTTACCGGCGTGCGGTCGTTCATCACTACCGCGTGGTGCACACTACTCCTGGTTAGAATTGGTACTGCGTTACCTAAATTTCTCACCTACAGTGGAGACACGCGTCACACACTGGGGCAGCCCTTTCCGTTGTGAAAACATACACATAACAAAATTACTTCTGTGTTGCCATTACATTTAATAGTGAATATTTCCAATGTTACTAGCTCCCATAGGTTAATCTCACGACTTGTTCACCTAGAACGAACCACGCTGTTGTTTCTTTGGTAGAATATTGATTGCCAGTGTATACACCGCGAAATCGCTCTTGGTAAAGGTATTTCGTGCGCACACACCACGCTGTTCGCGGTATGCTATAGTTTTCAGCAAGCTTTTCTCACGGGAAAGTCAAAGGCCATGAGGAAGCCGAAGGCAGCGTCTGTCTCCACGCCGGCAGGTCTTCCGGCTAGGATGGCGATCTCGTCAGAGTACACGAGTGCAGTGTTCCGGGCAACACGGTTGCGAGCATTCGACGGCACCATCATGGCGAGGGCGAGATCCGCCTCCTGCACCATAGTTCCCCGAAGCACGTTGTATCATGCTGTAATTTAGACTTCATTCGTTTTGAGGAAAGACTGCCGATCACCGTAAAATGCTTTGAAGCGTCGAAGATTAAGTGAGCAGGTTAAAAGATGGTAGTGTGAGAAAGTCAGTTCTCGTGGATGCACGGTTGGCGACAGTCAGGACAAGGATCATTCGGGCAGTGGCCGAAGTAGCGAAGACATAACTTTTTCACCCGTTATTTTCGTGGTTTGAAACAAACTATGTCTTAAACAATAATAGTGATTTAAAAAAAAGCCATGCACTTCTTTCACTAGGTTGCTTATACATCACCATCTTAAGACATTAACTTGGATACAGTCGATTGAGCGCTTGCTATTCTGAATCTACTCATTTTCCAATAAACGTCTTTCTGGGCGTATATACTAGAACATTGAGATCATAACGTAAACCGCCAACAAGTTGCAAAAAAAAAAAAAAATTTATAGCCACGAAAAAAAAACAAAAAAACCCACGTCTCTCTGGAGGCGTCCGAGAAGTCCGGTGGCAGTGCCGTTTTGTAGCAGGTTTCCAAGAGAATAGTCGTTGACCAATTGCAAACTGTAGCTGCGGAAGATACACACGCGAATGAAGAGAAATGGACAAGGCAGCGTTTAAAAGATAGGTTATGTTACGATAGCGTGCTCACTTGAGCCTCATGGAGAGCGTCAGGGCTTGCAGTACCTCCCCCAGGAGTCCACCAAAGCGGTCTCCGTCCTTTGTCCGCAGGACCACCAAGTGGGGCGCGTACTGTATAAACTCTATTAGACAAGCCTAGGTCTACGAAGCCATGTCGTGCCCTTTAGTAACTCTTTTTACCAGTCCCTTCTTTTCCTCACCATGGTCACACGGTATAGGTAACTGCCTATCGTGTGAGAGGCAGTCCATGCGGGCTGATAAAGAGCCTTCAGGAAGCCTCAAAGGAACAGCGATGCTTAACAGAACGTCGCTGCCACTCTTGAGATTTCCGGGAGCTTTCTTGTCGAGTTTCAGACCCTACGGAGTTTTTGTCACAAGCTCTGGGGGAAGATCGTCATCTTCATCTAAGTTGAAGCACGCTGAACTGCCAGTATTATCCGCATTTCTCATCTTGCAAGAAACTTCAACATACAGTTCTTCTCACAATATTTTACCCAACTTCGTTTTTTTTTTTTTTTGTATAACTGTACTCTAATTTAGGGAACACTACTTGTCCATCAATAGTTCAAAATCTCTATCATTCAATGATATAATCCACATTAAGTTTATATTCAGTTTGGCTACGCCGGAATCAGAGACAAGGGCCAAGGTCTGATAACTTACGGGAAACGTTGCAACCCGAAACATCGAGTCCTGCGTGGAGCAACTCAAACGTTGAAATAAAACTACGAGCTGCTTGGGTTTCGAATCGACGGCTTGACGATGCGCAGAGAGGTGCGTAAGTCCATCAAGACTCGATTGTTTGACGGCGTGAGATAAGGACACATTTGCACGACGATCGATACGCGCGAAAATGCAAAGCGTTCACTTCATTCTAATGACTTTCGGACTCGCGCTAGTGACTTCGCCTACGTAAGTGGCATATATAAAAAATATACCTTCATCGGGTTTGATAAAATATACCTTCATCGGGTTTGATACTATCATGAAGGGATCGAATAATGCAAGTTTGGAATGTGTCGTTTATCAAGCTCTGATGTAGGGCTATTCAATCTGTACGCTCCGACGCGCCTGCACGGTGGACTGGTGGTAATGAAATCGCACCTTTCACCCGTCCCTTAAACATTACTCAATTTCTGTCACGCATCCTCACCTTACCTCAGATACGGGGGAAAAATATACATACCGTCCGGGTAATGATATATTATGAAATACCTGAAGCGGAGTTCGATTCCGAAATCGACAATATTTTTCGAGATTGGCAGTATACTTGTTTCTGTGGCTCTCTAAGCACATAAACACCGATAAATATCAGATATAATAATCCTTAAAAGCTGTTTTATGATATATATTATTTTAAAAACATGTACTAAATCGCCGTTTTTCAGATTATGATAGAGCGAGAACTTTCTCCTATAAAAATGCAATGTATTTGTGCCAAGCTCACTCACCCTTTTAATTCGTTTTAAATTATGCTACATCGACTGAGCTATTTTACTCAAGTTTTCGAGTCCCACTGCTCAAACAAAATGACAAAAAAAAAAAAAGGGGGGGGGGGATTTATTAGTTACAAATTATGCGCCTCGATTCCTTACCGCCCGTAAATTTCGAAGTTCTAAATTTAATCCCCTCCTATATACTCGCTACTCCAACTGTCTATAGGCGGCGCCTGTCTAGTGTGATGGCTTCACTGAGAGACACAGATTATTCCCGCGTATGCGAGGAAACAAAGGTGTTATGAGCGCTGGTCACCGCTTTATCCTGAAAACAAAAAACGGTGTTTAATATTTACGCCAAAAGGCAGAACTAACTTCTATTTTGGATTGAATTTCTCGACATAGGTGTTAATTTAAATTTCTCTTTTAATTCAAGATGTGTCTCCCATCGTAGTTATTAAGCTAAAAAAAGAGGTTCGCGGAAACTTTATTTTGTGACACACGTGTCACAAAATATCTTGAAGAACTCAGTGTCTCTTTAAAAGGGTAGTCCACCGATTTTTTGAGCTACCTCAACTAACTATATTTTCTGACTCCCCGGCCTTTACTCTCTCCGGTATGCTATTTAGAATCGCGAAATTCATAATAGGTATTGCGAAATCGGCAAATGAAAATGATTCAAAAACCAACATTCAAATATACGCGCACTTTTCAGGGCCGTGACGTCAGTGGCAGGCAGGCTTGCCAGTCGAGCAAGCAGCCAAAAAATAGAATATGCCAATCATTTGTTCCGTGCTGGAGCGCGGGTACTGCAGTGAGCTTCCCAAGCATTCATTTGACAGCATGAAACTACTTCGAATCAGTTGGGAACAAAATCTACAGCCCAAAGAGTGAACCCCTGCCTTCCTCTGACGTCACTTTTTCATTGTTGCCAGTAGAGACTTTCAGTTGGAAAAACACGGTGACGACCAAAACTGTAAATTCAATAACTTCGCGAAAAAACAATATTTTGACCTAATATTTGGAATACAATTTTAGCTATGTTTGTTCGTTAGTTTAGCAAAATTTCAAGCAAATCGGAGACAATGAAAAAACCGGTGGAGTACACCTTTAAGGACAGACTTTTACACACCTTCAGAATGTTGTATTTGTTGAAAAAATAAGCGCTGATATTTGTGCGTTCTTGCTGCTTTTTCTCACTCAGATAATTGTCATCTGAAATATGAACTGCGGGCTCTTCAATGGGTTTTTGAACACTTAGATGATCAATCGCTTTAGCATTTATTCCAAGCACAATAACTAAATCAATCAAAATTTTACAAAATATCGCCACGGGTGATGAGTTTAGAATATGTTTACAAATGTATAAACTAAAAAAACGTTGTTCTCACCACAAAAAAAAAGGAAGCCGAGTTAGACAACGGAAGTGAGTGTTCTTAGAGCGCAGCTCTCAGGTGCCCGTCACCAGTGACGTCACGAGGGCCACAAATGACGTCACAAGGATCACCAGTGACGTCACAGGGGTCACGTGTGACGTCATGAGGGTCACCAGTGACGTCACAAGGGTCACGTGTGACGTCACGAGGGTCACTAGTGACGTCACGAGGGCCACGATTGACGTCCCGAGGGTCACGTGTGACGTCACGAGGGTCACGAGTAAAATCTCCCTCGTGAAATCACCAGGGGCATACTCTCCCCTCCTGCTGCTCAAGAGCTGCGTTCTATTTCGGCGTTACAATAAATTGTAAACGTCTTTCATAATTCTTTTTAGAGCAACGCCTGACGTATAAGACTTCATTTTACATCCAGAGTTTATGTCTATCTTGATAACGATATCAGTTTTTCACGTGCTAAAAGGAAAACAGAGCGAGACCTTTCTGTAAAGACCATTATGGTTAAATGGCGTATTTTTGTGATTGTGGCGTTTATTGGAGGCATATACTACCGCAATCTGTATCAATTATAGTACTATTAAGATATATTAATACGTAGTTTTTCAAGCTCAAACATAATTTCCTGCTAATGATCTCATTTCAAACGCGCAAATAACTATGACATGTTGAATAAACCTGCGACTGGGGCAGAAATGAACATCTAAGTCGAAGGAAAAGAAAAAGAAAGGGACAAGACGTCGTCTTGTCCTTTTCTTTTTTCTTTTCCTTCGACCTATATCTTCATTTCTACCCCATGCCTCAGGTTTATTCAACATGTTTAACATTCACTAGTTCGCCTGCACCCTTACTACATTATAGCTACGGCAATTCAAAGTTGAAAATTTATCATCATTTGCAGCGCTTTAAATAGCAAGTGATCAATTAAAAATAGTCTAAAATAAATGAAAACATTCTAGCTAGTCTGAGAAATTTATGTACAATGACGAGAATCGTGTGTGCTATCAAAGTCGCGAATTTTGACAATCGGCAAAACTTAAAAATATGCCACCAATCCTTCCGGACCAACTGCTGCTGCCCCCCCCCCCCCTCCCCCCCCCCCCCAAAAAAAAAAAAAAAAAATAAAAAAATAAAAAATAAATAAATAAAAGAATTTCTTAGCCTTTACAGTACTAAGCAACGCCTACCCACCTGCTCACTGCAGCACGTTCCGTTGGCGTTGCGAAACCGGTGAAACAGTAGTGAGTTTTAATACTGCATATCGGACGCAAGCATTGCGTTTGCGCTAATGTTGCGTGTTCGACACTACGCGTGTGCGGAGCCCAGAATTGTGGTCTTGAATTGGCGCATGGCGACGACGCGCATGCTCAACGCAAACGCACGGTGCTTGCGTTTGCTTCTATAAGCAATACTGAAACTCTCTAGTAAGGTACAATCCCGTACCGGCTGCAGCACTTTATTGGGACAGTGAAGAGCGTTGCTTGCATTGAGAAATGACTGTTGACTGTTCATGATCGCTAGCAGTTCCGCCGTGCCCGCTAAGCAGAAGAACCGGGGGACCTTCGCTAGAGTGTTTCCAGTTTCCGCCGCGAGAGGGCGAGCAATAAGCTGGAGACGCCAATAGTTATAAACTTGTGCTACCCTTGGCAGGTATTTTGTGACCACGCATGCATGCAATCAACCCTACTGCAATTTTCGTATCTAATGATCGATATATCCCTTAGCCTTGATAGTACCTGCACCTAAATTTCGAGCTCGGGAACCGACACAGAATATTTGGTTCCGACCTCACTTCCTTCGCTCCCCGACACAAGCCGAGATGTCGTGCAGCGGTCAGCCGCCACCAGCGGCGACGCCAGTCGTTATAGTCCGACACCGGGATCTACATATATCAGTCAGAATTCGGACACGGGACGTGATTCAAACAGAAGGTCCGTTTACCCTTTTGTTTCCGCATTCAGTCGCGAGTAGCGTGTTCCTTGACAGACGAGCCGCAACCGTAAATTTCTCCGCGTGCCTAGAAATAGCGAGAACCTTTAGGCTCGCTCCCGCATACTGATTGAACAACAGCTGGACGCTCGAAGACAATCCAAGCAGAGTCCGTCGCCCAGTTCAACAGCGATGGCACGGGGCTCGGTGTCTCTGTGGTTCCTGGTCTTCGTCCTCTTGGATGCCGCCGACTGGAGCGCTCTCAGTGGAGCCCGTAAGTGTCGGTTCAGCAGACTCGCAGGTTTACTCGGAAAGTTTATCGGTTAGTCTCGCGATGGAACTTCCACATTTTGGGGAAGTAAGGAAGTGCCGACTCTGCGAGGTGCGGACTAAAGAGTCAACAAAGTTCCCCGCACGAAGATAGATGGGGGAACTCGCGCGGGTGCAGGGATGTGCGATTGCATGGTCACCTTGAAACATTTTTTGAAGCAGCCAAACGTTCATAATGGATAGGTATGCCCTTTCCGGTGTTTACATACACGGAAAATCGTTTGTTTACTTTTTTAGCCTTTTTTTTTCTTTTCTTCTTCTAAAGATTAGTGTATTTGGGTGATCTGTTTCGGATGACCGCTAAAAACGGTTATTATCGGTGAAAGTCTCTAACAGAAAAAAAATTCGATAAAACAGTCCTAGCTGGTAGAAAAAAAAAAAGCGCAGAAATCGGTGTTTCTCGATTTTAACCGACTTTGTATCTTTAACTCAAACTGACGCCCACCGGTGTTTTTCGGTTAAAACCAGAAAGTCTACGGCCTAAGAATCACGTGTGTCGGCCGGACCAACTCATAGACCTTTTCGCTTTCCCATTCTTCCGCAACCGCTCATTGACATTTCTTGTTCAGCAGACAGTTTAGTAACCACTAAAAACCCTGCATCTGTTTCGTTGTGGCTAAAAAGGACTAGACGCGGCAACAAGACCGCTATGACAAGAGCCGTCCTAGTGCAAAAGAGCCCCATCGCAGCAGTCGTTTTTAAAGGACACGCTGAATTGCTTGAATGATAAAAGACAGCATGAAAATGCGTGGATGGGAATTTTCGGCTACAGAATTAATTGTAAACAAAGCAGTATTCTGCTCAAGTAATGTTAGAATAGAATAATTTTGAGTACCAAATTGAATATCTTCACCCAGGTTTCATGAAGCGGTACAATTCTTAATTCTTCTAGAGGGAGTATTTCCTTCAATTAATCGTGCGCATCAACAGAACTGTGCACGTATATATAGTTTTATCATAATCAGGCTGCGGGTCATCAACACGTTTCCCAAATAAAAAAGAAATTAGCCAAACTCGTTAAGTTTAATACCCAGCTTCCATTTGCCGACTGTTAAAGCTAATTTGCTTCGATTAAACTATTTATTTATTGGTTGTGTGACCAAATAACCAAATGCCCGCATAAAAATAATAAAACAATTTCATTAAAAACAAATTCTACCTACAGCCCAGCTATAACTAAAACATGAAAATGTACTCCAAATTAAAAAAAAAAAAAAAAAAAAAGAAACCGCATGATTAACAACGCAGGTAGCTTATGAGGACATTGCGCACTCACTCATTGCCCAAAACAGGTCTCATCTCAAACAGCGAGACATACTGTAAACGCGAGTCTGTCAATGTTTGGTATACAAATGTAGAATGGGATAGCATGCTGTTCTAATGTTCGCGTTGGCCCAACGCTATGACCGTATTCGCGTTGAGAAGCTCGCTAGGGGCGGCTCTGTTTTCCTCACTATGGGTATAGTGCAAGTGCTACCCACGCGGTTAAGTTTTAATTTCCACAGAGCATAGAAGCTTGACAGGGCGCGTGCTTGCACCAGCAGAGGAAGTTGAAGCATCCTCACTCTGGGTTGTGAAGAAATTCTACATGGCGATGATACCCTAACTTCTATCCGCGAATAAAACCCAAGCTTGCTTTTGGGAGAAAAAAAAATTAACTTCTGGAGCAACGATGGCGAAAATGTATCGCAATTTGGTGCATCACACATGAGTGAATGACGTTTTAGCAAACAGCACCATCTGAGCGAATCGACATTTTAGCGAATAACGGGGCCGAGCGTTAACCCACCCCCGCGCTGCGTTCACGCCGCTTCGCAGCGTTCACGCCGCTTCGCAGCGGCGGATCATTACAAAAATGTGAACCCACGTGGCCCATCTGAAAACGCCGCTTCCCGGTGGCCGACCATTCGCTAAAGTGTCTTTCGATAGTCGGCGTTCGCTAAAACGTCCTTCGACGAACTGAGTGCCACCCGGGATAATGTAGGCGGCGGGAGCGACCATGAAAGTCTCGGCGGACAGTGCCCAGGAGATTGTGTAGCGGCCGTCGACGCCATGTCATATGCTGCCCGGCTGATGATAGAAATTGAAATAATTTGCAAGGTGTGACTGGTGTACATCATCGAAGCCAACGGGCCACTTCCAGGAAACAGAAGTGCTCCTGCAATCTTCAAACAAATGATGGGGTCACCGCCCCTTTCGCCCCCCCCCCCCCCCCCCCCCCCTTCCTTCCTTTTCCTTCCCCTTAGTAACGCCAGTGACCACCATGGAGTGATTTGGTGTAAACCGAAACTAGTGAGGGAGGAATCCCGGACAAAAAGCTCACCGGACAAAAGCTCACCGGACAGAAGCTCACCGGACAAAAGCTCAACCATTTTTTAAGACCCGGACAAAAGCTCAGCAGGAAAAAATTTCATGTCGGTCTTATGGAGAAACCAAGTTTAGAGAAAAAGGCGATGAGCCTCCTTTTAGCGAATTCGACCACCGCGAAGCGGCGTGTACGGGTAGGTCAGGGCAGTTAACATTTTTGTAATGAGCCGCCGCAGACTGCCGCCGCGAAGCGGCAGGAGCGCAGCAGGGGGTTTGGGTTAACACGCGCACCAGTGATACACGCACGAAGCAGAAAAGCCTTTTTTTAAATAGCGTCCCCATTTTGATAAACGGCATATCTCTAAACTGAGGCTCTGCTTTTTCTAAACCGTGCTTCAATAAAACGTGCCCGTTCCCTAAAACATGTTTCGACGGAATGGCATTCGATCAACCGTAGTAAACCCTTGCATGGGATAGGGTACAAGTTCACCTAAAAATCGTGCAATGCCCATTGCGTCCGCATTTCTTTTCAGCCCGTGTTTCGCCCGGGTAGCGAAAAAAATGAGGTGAGCTTTTGTCCGGGTCTGTGAAAAAACGAGTGAGCTTTTGTCCGGTTACCGTGAGGGAGGGGGGGGGGGGGTACAAAGTTGCTTTTGGAAGCAAGTGTCATCAGCATGTTCGAAACAACATTTTGCGAAAGGCAGCACTGCCTTTCGCAGCAAAGCAAAATTAAGTTTCAGGCGTCTCACCATTTTCTGTCCATCTCCAGTGTGCACGTGCGAGCCTTCAAAACAAGGTAGGAGGAGAGCGTAGGAAGAACTAGAGTCACTAAATAAGCGTAGCTTTATTTAGTGACACTAAAAACAACTCTTCTCGCGAAAAAAAAAAAAAAGTCCATAGTTCAGACACGAGCAGGCTTAGTTAAATCCAAATATGCTAGTTTCTACTTGTTCACACACCGGCGACGCGAGAAAACGTAAATAACGGCGATATTTGAGCCAGCCTTTATGCGTGTGGCATATACCGATTTTGGTTGGGAAAGCTAGTTTTTGGCACGAATCAGTTTAGGTTTACAAACACAAGTTTCGTGGACATACAAAATCATAAAAAAATATATTTATCAGACTAGTCTGACGATGGCGGCAACCTCGTCAAGCTGTTGCTGCAGTAGCGTTTTGTCCGATTGAGAGAAATAGGGGATAATTCTATCTCGTTCGATGCAGGGGCGCAGGAACTCCAACAGCAGATGAAGAGAGGCCTGACGGACGACTTCCCCGAAGAGCCTTCAGCTAGGCAGTCTCATCTCAAGAGAGGCCTGAAACGGTATCAAAACGGACCAGGTTCCCTGGAAGGTGCGGGATCGGCCAAAGAGACGTGGCCCAGCCGAGAAACCAGCATCGGCCAAGAAAAAACATCAGCCATCGACGCGTATTCGGACGTTGCCAGCGACCAGAAGAGACGAAGGCATAGGGCTGGCTTAAATAGAAAATTTGCTCAAAGACATTACGCCAGAAAGCATAGCAAAAGTGCGCGTAAGCCGCATCGATCAAAGGCTATCCAAGAGACCGGGCTGAAAGGAAGAGCCGCTCCTCAGAGAGAAATCGGCAACATATTGGCGTCCGTTCCAGAATCACAAAAGGGAGTCGTGCCTGCTCAGCAGACAAATCTGATTGGAAAATCTGCACCCAGTCAAGAAGTAAAGGGCGAATCATTATCAGTACCGGAGACGCTCCAAGCAGCCGAGCCTGTTCATCAAACAAACATAAAAAGAGGTCCTAGTAGCAAGTCAGATACACCTTTAAAACTGCAGCGAAGTGCTCCAGCAATAGAAACAGGTTTGAAACGAAACCCTACTTCTGTTCAAGACTCAAAGAGCAATCCATTACGAGCCCAGAAAGCTATTCAACAGACAGGCTTGAAAAGAAAAGCTTTCATGCAAGGCCTTGGCCGCAAGACCGTGTCAGTTCACAAAGGTCAGCAAAATGCTGCACCACCCCTTCGCAGAGGCCTGGAGGGAAACTATGCACCTAGTCAAGATTCAGAAAGCAGGGCTCCATTAGTTCCAAGAACTCTCCAGTCAGCAACAAATTTTCAGCGGACAGGCTTGAAAAAAAATGCTTTAAAGAAAAGTTTTATAAACAAGACCATACCAGCTGGAAATGTGCAGCAAAAGGCTGCACCAGCTCTCCAAAGAGGTCTGGAAGACTGGCAGGGTAAGTCCTTACCAGTTCTAGAAGCTTCCCAAAAAGCCGCATCTGCTCAAAAACCAGGATTGAATAGAGCTGTCTTGAAAACCCTTGGCAGAAAGACTGTATTTGTTCGAAAAGGACAACAAGGAGTTGCGCCACCGCTTGAAGGAGGCTTGAAGGGAAGCGTTGTGCCACGTCAGAGCCTGAAGAGCAAACTTCCAACTTCAAAATCTTTCGTTGATGCCAAGTCAGCTCAAAAAGCAGGTTTGAAAGCAACTCTTTCTAACAAAAGTTTTGACAAAAAAACCGTGGCATCTCAAGAGATGCGTCAAGCTGCTGAAGCACTTCAGAGAGGTGCGGAAAAGAAACCTGCACCCAGTCAAGACCAATATGCAAAGTCTATATTGGTCCCAAAGCCAGTCACAGGAGTGAAGCGGCAGGTGGGAATCAAAAAGGCTTCTGCCCAAGCTCTTAACAGCAAACCTGTTTCCGCTCCAGGGCAACGAATAGCCACACCAGACCTTAAAGCACAAAGGAAAACAAAGTCCTACCCAAATCAAGTTTCAGGCGAGAACCCCCTCATTTCAAATGCACAGCAAAGTGTTCAGCCTGTCCAGCAAGCAGGCTTGAAAGGAAGAAGTTCCCCTAACCAAACCTTTAACAGAAAGTCAGCTCCACTTCCACAAGCACAAGGGAGCATCACTCGTGACCAGAAGGCTGGATTGAAAGGAAGAGCGGCCCCTAACCAGGAACTTGGAAGGTCGGTATCAGTTCCAGAACAGCAGAAGGGTGTCAAACCCGCACAAGAAACCAATGTCAAACGCAACTCGGCTCTAAAGCAGGTGCTCACCACAACTGCACCAGCAGCAAAAGTCCAACGAAGAGCAAAGCAAGCTAAGCAGTTGGGTCAGTTCCCGACACACATCAGCAATCACCAAGGAAAGACAGGCTCAAATAGAGTACCTTACAGGGCTGTGAAGACTCGGCAAATGGGAAATTCAATTCAGCAGGAAACACCCTCTTGGAAAGGCAAGACTGCAGGACAAGCAGGACTTCAAATCAGTCCTGTTGGGGAATATCCTAAAGCACTCGTTCATGAAAGCGTCCAGAAACAACAAGCTGCTTCCTCTTACATCAACAGAAATGTGAACGAGCTACAGAACTCTCAATACAAAACATCCCATTTAGTATCCAGCAATGAACTTAAGAAAAGTGGCAACAATGAAAATCCTGGTCTGGACATAGCTGCCCAACAAACACAAGGACACAATGCAAAGTTGGTGCTGCTGCAGAATAAAGAGACCATAGTTCATGGTAAAGCTTATACAACAGAATTGACAAAGCAACAGCCAAAGCATCATTTGCAGCAGCAACTTCAAGTTCCTGGTGGTTTCACTACATCAGTTTTGCAAGGACGGCAACAAGCACATAGTGGGCAAGCTGTACCAGCACTGTACCAAGAGGACCCACATCCCCACCTGCAACAGCAGCTGTCTCAGCATCAAGTTCATAGTAGGCAAGCTGCGTCAACTCTATTGCAAGAGCATAGACATCCTCAACAGCAAGTTCATACCCAGCAAGATTTCACAGCATTGCAGCAAGTGCACAGCCATCCTCAGCTGCAACAGCATGCCCAGCACTAATTGCATCAAACTCAGCATATGAAATACCCACTATATGGGACAACATAAACATGCAATAAAGATAGTGCATCAACACCTTTTGCTAGTTCAGAATGAGGGAAGCAGTATTTTGCCACGGCGTCCAACTGTAGCTTGTTGTATTATAGTTATAATTAAAAGAGAAAGAAAGAAATGCAAGTGTGCAACTCTTCGCTGCACATAACAGCTTAAAGGCTGTTCTGGCAGTTCTCTCATGCAAGGCCACTTGGGACTGGCCACTCAGTTGCAAAGCAGCCATGGTGCATAAGCTGCTTTGTTTCAGAAAAAATAAGCAAAAGAAACATTCTACTAGTCTAGAGGCTTGCCTACATTACTTGTAGGCTCAAATAGATTGGATAAAGCTGCTGTTGCAAGTGGGGACATGATACAGATCAATACCCTGTAGTCAGTGAGGTAGTGGAGTAAGCACATTCACATAGTATTTTGCAATTTACTGTAGTGTGGCCTTGTCATAGAAGCTAATATTTATTTGCAGTGACCCCCAACAGCCAAAGGTCAAAACACTAAGTAGTCCACTTAAAGAGACACTGACATCCCCCAAAATTTATTTTTTAAATTTTGCCAGGCAAGTCATTATGGTGTGAGAAGACTACCTGTTCAATATTTTGCTACAGCGTCACATATATTTTGAATAAAGTAAAAAATGCAACTACTCGAGACCGAAATTGGACTGGGGAGAAAGAAGAAATATAGAGGAGGAGAGAGTGGGCTGAAGTCACGTGGCTGTGCAGCTTTTTGTCTTTCTCCAACCGACGTATTTGCAGCTTTTTAGAAGCCACTAAAAATGGGTATCATATTTCTTTTCTATTCTTAATATTGTTTGTGTGCCTTCGATGACCAACGACTTTGATTACATTTGGTGGTTGTCTCTCAAACATAGAAAATGGCCCGTGACCACGGAGAAGAGAGTGAGCGTGATTGAAACTGGCCAGTTCTCGATCGGCGGTTTTCGGACGAAAGGAAAACAAATTTCGAGCCGCGAATTGTTTTCTGGGTAGTTAAGCTCTGATATGTCATGTAAAAATAAAAACCTTGGGGAGCATAAACACCCTGTCAGTGTCCCTTTAAGCATGCAAGCCGATATAATCCAGAAAGTACAACAGTAAAATAAGACAGAACCTGGTTGTCAGAAGATGCATCAAAAGATGAATACAGCAGAACCCTTTGCTCAAAATGCACCTTGCAGCACCGATAGGTGTGCTGGAAAGGTGCCAAAAAAATCTGCTCACGTCTACCAAATTGAGCCAAGTTGCTCGAAAGATACAGCCACAGGGAAAACAGATGAACATTCTTGGTCTGGTTTATTTATCATGGTCAAAAGCACAAATATACCACAGGCATAAATTAAACAACATGTGCCCCTTACAAAATATGTCTGACCATAAATCACATTAGTTCCTTCACAGAAGAGCTGGATAACCTTTGTATTTAGTGCTGCATCAACACATGCAAGAAGAGGACTAAAGAATGTGTGCATGTGTAACCTCTAATCCAGAGAGAGATTGTAAGAGCTTTGTGAGTCCACAAGTTGTTTGATCAACAGCAGTCAAACCTAACATGCAATAAAAATGTTGCCTCACGATTAACAGCTCATAGATCAGATAAAGTTTTTGACTTGGTTCAGAACTTTATCTGATCATCCTCCATACTTTGTTTCACCTTATGATCGATTGCAGATAACACCTTCAGGAAGGGCTCAGAGGTGTTTGAAGCGCACAGTCATGTGATGCATTGACAGCGCTGGACTGGCTGGCTGGAACGACTCTTAGCGTTCACTGTGGTCCATCGTAAGGTGAAAGGGAGTACAGCTCAGCATAATCGCAATGTCTCATTCGTCTTTGAACACTGCACCTTGTGGATGCTGCCTCGAGGGCAAACAACGCAGGCTTTGACAGACTACCTGGCAGAGAAGTAAATGACCAGAGCAAGGGCCGCAATGCCGATGACGGCCAGAGTGAGGAGGCAACAAGCCTTCTTGCGATATTTTTTCTGAAAAGGATAAAAAATTGTGCATTGAATAAAAATGCAAGCATACTTGTCAGTAAGAAATACAAGCTGCATGTGCATGATAAACACCATCAGGGAGACACCAAACACAATTTCAAATTCTTTCGTTTTCTTGCTGCAGTAGGCTGCACAACTTTGTTTGCAAGTTTCAAACGAACAGGGCCTGCAGAAGACAAATGATTGTGCACTAACTACTTCTCTTGGCTCTTATGTGCGCTGTCATTGGTATAACTTTGTTCACTGCTGAATGAATTTGTGGGTCAAGCTCTGTTTAAAGGCTAGCATACAACATTATCTTATGCAAGGTAGAACATCTTAGTAGTGTTTTCCTCTCCCAATGTGTACGAAAGAAAAAAGAGGGATTAACAAAAAAGTGACTGGGTCAATTATCTGCAGCAAGTGTCTCACAATTATCACACAATTACTCACAATTATCTGCAGCAAGTAACCTTCATATACCATTTCAATCACATTTTTTTCAGTAACATTTGATGTCAACACTGACAACATGCCTGCAACACTGAGCAGACCTGCAAGGAACAAAATAAAGAATGTCCTCTTTGCTCATTCAAAAATTCTAAAAACTGTTTTTCACAGAATCTCCAAATCCTCTTTAACCTTATACTCCTCATATCCCTTTCGCATCCTCTGCAATCTCACATGTCTTTCATTTGAGGCTGACTAACCAGTAGCAGTTGTACTACGTATTTCAGCCATAAAAACATATTTTTAATTGATTAATATGTGAAGTATGATGTCCTTCTATTGAAATACTCACTCAAAATAATAATTATGGTATTCAGAATTAATGAAGTGATCGATTTGTAAACTGTACTATCAGAGTCCCGATGTCAATGGCATTTACTTTTTGTCAACAAATGCCACTTGTCCGATTTCCTATCCAGCCATGCTTCGAAAAAATAGTAATCTCTGCAGTCAGATATGGACGTCACGAAACGAAAAAACACCACCCCCCCTAATGCCAATAAAAAGTGTTTGAGTACTCTCATATAGTGATGGATCGAATCTGCCGAACTTCAGATTCGGCAAACTTCGGCATGCCAAACTTTTTCAAAGGTGAAATGAAACTAGCCAGAAAAGTTAATGTATACACCATTTGTCTCATTTAAAAGCCATTTACAGGGCTTGTTTCTGTTGATGCTGAGAACATCTCTGCCAAGCTTTGTTCACTTGGGTGAAGTACAAAAAAAAATTGCAAATGCTCTAAGATGAAAGTGGGTGTGCCTGCGTAGGAAAACTATTGTTTTGAAATTACTTATAAATTGGTCGTTTTCATGTTATATTGCTTTAGGACAATTCAGAGCAGATAACTATGGAGCTATATTTCTATATTATGCCATCTTTCATGACAAAAATCCACATAAACACAAATACTGTTTTTTAGATTCCCATCCTTTGTTCAAAATTTTAGTTCTTGAGCATGAAAAATTATAAAAATAAAAGAAATACAAGCTCATAGTTATCTTCCCCTTAAAATTTCGCCCCCAAAGAACTCATCAAAAGGAATCCAAGTTATGTAATAACAAAACAATAGTTTTCTTAAAGTGAAATTTATGCCAAAAAGTGGAATGGAGAAAAATGCGTTCAAAGTGCTCCAACTTCTACATTTCTTTCAGCATCGGTAGATCGACATTTATGGCATTTTTCAAAATCAACCTTTTTTTGCAGAAATTGTTTTTTCTGGGTAGTGTCCCCCCTTAAAGGGGCCCTGCAATCATATTTAAGTGTCTACCTTTTTTGCAGTTTCCATGTCTCTTGGGGTTCGGGCAAGCCAGCGGGCACGCAGAGAGTAACTAAATATCAGTGAGTCATATTTTAACCGGACGACGCGGAAACCTCCTCCACCTACAAGGGCGACCTGCGTTGCCGAAAGTGCGTAATATGTGATGTCTTTGGTCCTGAGCTTACTACTGGTCAGAGCCGCTAAAAGCTTTTTTTTTAGTCGAGATACAAAATATAAAAGTTGCGAACCGTTCCAATTATGTATGAAAGTAGTTTTTGTTCAGTATTTTACATTAGAAAAGAAACAAATGCAGTTTATAAAGTATAGAAACAAGAAGAGACCCGTCGACAAACCCGCCACCGAGCGGCGGAAAAAACGGTGCATACTAGAAAGGCCTAGTGGGATGAGGCTCCAACAAACGGCGGGCGTAGAAAGGTCCCGGATGTACGCGGCGGCGCTGCATTCGTATACCGGCTCGAGGATCCGACTGGTTCCGAGCGTTCCAAAGGCTTTCGGAGCGGGCTTGCCGGGCGATTTGGCCATTTGGCGGTATGGCAGCACAAAGTGGCTCAGCGTTCTGAACTGATCTTTATTCTGTGTTTGCTGTCGTTTGTGGCCAATGAAGTGTTACGCTGAATTAGTTTTTAATCGCGCGGCAAATGCAATGTGAGCCGCCCTGGCCGCCCGCTTCATACAGCCTATCCAACACGTGCTTTAGTGGCGCCCTCTCGAGCCGTTGACACAAAGTGTGGCAGCCGTGAGCGCTCCATGAGCTCACTACTTCACGCCCACTCAAGCCAGGGCCTACGACGTCAAGAAGGAGGTTCTTTTTTGCTTGTTTTTGTAATTCTAATTTGCCTATAACTTTTAAAATAAAGCGAAATTCGAGAAAACAAAAGTTTCTTTGAGTTACTGTGTTCAGTGCGCTCAGGTTCGGTGCAAATTAAAAACCAGTCAAAAAGGTATTGCAGGGCCCCTTTAAGGAAAGTTTGGCAAAGATTAGGCACAATCTCGGCAAACATCTGCACACGCACGAGAACGCTATGCAGCCATGGATTGCAAATGGACGCTGTGCGGTCGTGCGGTTACCATTGTACCGTGTAGTACTACCAGCGGTTACAGAGAGGTGCAGAGTAGGCGACATGGTAACTGTGTTTGTCAGCGTTTGTCAGTGTGGTTCTCTTCAATATTTTCTGCCTCAAGAACAGAAGATCAACCAGAAATGGACGCCAAAATGACGCACTTCATTGAGCAAGTGACAAATGATGCGGTACATTCGGGATGACGTGATTTTCATTTGATATTTCCAGTGATGCAACGAGGTAATTGTGACACTGACTGACGAGTAACTTAAAACACTCCTCGCCATTATAGCAATCCTGTTTTTGGCTCACAAGTAGTTTGTGCCAAAACAAAATAATATTGCTTTTCAATCAGCGTTATTTCCCAGTTTTCATCTATCCGCATAAAACTAAACACAGAACTACCATGCTTGACGTTGCACATCCTACATTCTTGACTTTTCCCATCTTCCTAAACGTCTGGTGCGTCCTAACATCAGAAACCGGCATTTTAGAAGTTAAAAACGAGACGTTCCGAATATGGGACGCACACTTTTATGCAAAGCTGAGGTGACTCAAATCGAAAAAACATGCATATTTACAATAATATTGTTACCTCTTCTGGTGAAGGCTCAACAGCCGTTACCACTCATTTTCGCGCACGAAACGGTGACTTGCAGAGGAAGTATAAAAGAACACAGTGCTATCGCCTTTTTTTTCAACGATACACACTTACAGGCTTGCGCTGATGAGGCCTCAAAACCGAAACTCGCATATTGTGACTGCGCCGCTACAGTCTAAGCTCGTTACAACAGACATTTGGATATAACATACCAATTTGTGAAGTTCGGTTGGTTTTCCTCTATGTACCATTGACTGAACTTATATCTGCATACAACATACTCCTTTTACAACAGACCGAAATCTTGGTCAAAATCAAAGTCTGTTATAACGAGATTCGACTGTATTACCCAACCCTGTTGTCACACCCCTTCTGCAAAAAGTCCCTTAAAAATTACCAGAAACACACAAAAATGACACCGATACAATTATCTTGTAGAATAACACCCTTTTAGTAATAACTGTATCAATATACATTTTACGAAAAACCTAAAAACTTTTTTCACATAAAAAACAATATATCAACTTTGAGGTCTGGCAACACTGTATTTTCACCGAATCTTCGCCAAATCTTTAGAAAAGTTTGGCGAAGATTCGGCGCCAACTTTTTGATTCGGCAAAAGTTCGGCCCATCACTACTTTTGTATGTGCAGTCTGCAGACCACTGAAGTGTGTTCATCGTTTACTTATACTTCCATACTTCATCGTAACAAAGCAGGCAGTGAGAATCACCTGATACTGGGCAGCACTGCGAAGTTGGTCAACAGCTTGACTTGTGTTGATCTGAGTGCTCTCAATGTTGCCTTCAATGCTGTCTGGAATGTGACAAAAACAACCAAACATCAAGTACATTGTCTTCGAGGAAGCTGAACAGTCCCAAGAAAACCAGCAAGAAGATAAACAAAGGGTGCATCATACTGATGGTTTCTCCTTGTTCGTGGACCAAAGTAGCCAAGTCCTTGAATATCTGATTGCAGTCCAGCATGTCCGTTTCGATCTGTCGCATGCGGCGCTCTCGTTCGGCCAAGAGGGCCTGCGGTTTCAGAGAATGTGCAAAGTCCCGTTATAATTTGAAAACGTAAGCGTAGCGTGATAGAACATTAAATGTTTAAGAAAGCAAGAAGCCACTAGAAAAGCAACAACGCACAAACAGCTATTGCTAGCCTTACCAAAGTATCATGTTTCAGTGATTTCATTAGCTGGCAGTATGAATGTCATACCAACAGTAGAAGAAAGCAGAGTTGAAAGCATGCTCTCTTTTCTTCCAAAGTCTACTTAGTATCCTGCAGCACACCATAAAAATTTATTGGCAAATATTACCTTGACTTAATCCTACTAACACAGCACTGTAAAGTCCTGAGTTAAGGGTCATCCATGGTAAAGAAATAAATGACACTCAGGCACCGATATCAGAGGTGGCAGGCATGGCAAACTCATGTCTCGTGGTGGCATTTTCTGACTTTAAAAGTAGCAAGTTTCATCATTCCTGGAGCGTATGCAACGTCACCATGTTGTAAGAATGAAAAAGCGCACAACTTCAATCTTTCTTATTTTTTTCAGAACATCATAAGGAGAAATTTATTCAATTGATGCAGAAATGAATTAAGGTATGTCTAGCAAAGATCACAACCTCTATGTGAGCAGTCTGTACAGCAGTGACCATGTGCATTACATCTGTGTCAGCAGGTTCCATTTCTTTCCTTGCTGCTGCTGGCAACAACATGGCTCAAGCTGCCGCCCGATACACTGGTGCACGCAAGCAGGTGCATGTGCTCATTCATGTGCAAAACACCTGCTTCCATTTTACTGCTTTGTGAATTTCGTATTTCCTAATCTGAACTTAGGTATTCACAACGCTGCTCACGTTTACCCAGTCTTGTACACGTTACTAAAAAAAAGTAATCGATTACAATTACTCTTACTCTTGGCTAAAAAGTATTCTATTAGATTACTTGATTAGTAGAAATAAATGAACTGCGTAAAGGACGAGGACAGAGGTAGAAACGAGTACGACACAAGGAGTGCAGTTTCTACCTCTGTCCTCGTTCTTTACGCAGTTCATTTATTTCTACAAATCATGAACCAACTAGCCTGCCAAAAGGTGTTACTTGATTACTCGACGGCAAAAGTAATTGGACACTACTTAAAGAAGTAATGGTTACTTCTCCGATTACTTTATTGTGTGAAGACTTACATCTTTAGCGCTCATAACAATGAACTACTTCCAACCTATATTTCACATTTGCACAAGTATGTAAGAAGAAAAACTGGCTCCCTCTTCGTGGTCGTTGCACCTTCACAATGCGGACACAAGCATAGAATTTGTTTGAAGACGTTTAATGATTTGGGCGTTCGCCAGTGTGTGTGTGTGGGGGGGGGGGGGGGGGGGGGGGAGGAGCGGAGGGGGTTCTAGATCTTGTTAACCTTGAGCAAGGGTTTTCGCTCAAGGTTTGCGTCGCTCATTTTATTATTCACATGTGGATGAGCTTGCACGTTATACAAAAGAGCAGCAGCTCCAGGATTGGATACGGATCATGTGTAGTATCCATTAGCGGAAGAGATCGCCCCGACCACTTCTCAACTCGAAACATTGCTTGTCGCAAAGACCACGTAGGGGAAATGGGGAAATATTTCAATTGCCTTTGTTATATTTTGCATCCGCTTTAGGCATTCTTCGGTTCTGGTTCTCCTACGGGCTGTGAGTAGGTACCCTAAGCAGGATTTTTTTATTTTTTTTTATTTCTGTGTGTGTGTGCGTGAGGGGGCTAGTTTGAACGGACTCACAAAGCTACATTCTGCTTCCTCAAACTTCACCCTGAATGGCCGTTTTCGCGCACTGTGGCTTTCCCTGGGCTCCCCACTCCCAGTCCCAGCTCGAAAAAAAAAAAAAAGAAGAAAACGGACATTCCACAGAAACTGTACATAGAAAGAGATTGACCTCGTTTCCTACAGCTCCGCAAATTTTTTTCTTTTTTCCGTTCAAAAAAAAAAGCAAATTTTATTTTTGTCATTTCATAAAAAAAAGGTGTGTGCCGGGGGGGGGGGGGGGGGGGGGGAGGGCGGGGGGGGGGGGGGGGTGTCTCGTGGACGAATTGTAACGGTTACAAGTAATTTTATTACTTCAAAAAGTAATCAGATTACTCTTCTGATTACTGCTGAATAAAAGTAATAAACTCATTGCAAAATAACTCCAAAAAGTAATCGATTACAAGTAATTCGATTACTTGTAATGCGTAGGGTACAAGTCTGCGTTTACCTAGGGCCCGATAGTATATGGTATGCTCATTGTCTCCGAGCAGACTACTCTGTTTAGGTCCAAATGCAACCACAATCGGCAATATTTGGCTTCCATGCGCCCAGTAGAGCAGTCGCAGGACTTTTATGTTTAAAAATGTGATCTCGATATGCATAAACACAGTAGCTGTTATAACAAACTGCATTCTTTCAAAAAGAACAGTTCACTAAAAGTTAGGGGAGCTTAAAAAAGCTTTCAGCCTTTCCACTCTGGTGAAGAAGGAAGAGCAGCGGAGCTGTTCTATGTGCTGCCATCTACGAGCGACGGCGGCAACCAGACAACCGGCTTGCCGGCTGTCTGGTTGTCGTTCATAGATGGCGGTAGCTGTCCAGAGAGTTCTGTTAAGATTTTATTTGACCACGGACACGAAACTGGGGAAACTAGCCCTCAACAGCTTCGCTGTAAAAGAAATGTTGTAGAAAATTATCCTTCTGGATAGCGTACTAGATGCATTATGTCGGTAGCAAGCAGAACACCAAAAGAAAATCCACGCTAAGAAAGTGTACATACATTCTCATAGTCCAGATCTGCAACTAGATGCTGCTGCTGCTGGACAGGGCTCTGGGGACTCTCAAGGCCCGGGATTAGTGCAGCCTCCTCTTCTTCTCTCTGGGCCTCAAGCCCACCCCAGCCGCTGGTCCTTGTGCGAGGTGCCGCGGCCGGTTTACACATGCTGTACCTCTGCCGTGTCGCTACCTCCTGGAAACAGGTTGACGTGTGAAACACGAAAGGACGGTTACGAAGGAACAAGCACTGTAAATCGGATTATCAAGTTTAAGTTAATTCCTTAAATAGTAAAGGGCAAGCCCCCAGTGCCATTTTGTGTGGAACAGTAGTGAACATTATAAGCTTCTTTGCTGCGACTGTGGGCTCCACAACCCTCGTTATCTCTCGATTTGTGGAAGAGTTAGTTAAGAGGCTGGAACCTAAGCTGTGAATTCCTCCCCTAGTTTGGACCAGGATGTCCTTAATGACCGGCGGGTGCTTCAAATAAGCACGATGGGCCAATCCCTTTCATAAGTCTTACAGCCCTACATATTACTGTCTTTTGTCTGGAACATAAAGGCCGGTACAAAGACAGAGGTAATTTAAGAGCTTTCCTTCACTTCTTCCTTTTTCTCCTCTTTGCATGGAGCCTTCCGCCACGCAAGACACATTGCTCCATTCAGCTTGGTGCCGCTTAATTGAGTTTTTACTTACAGACTGGAGAGTATCGAGGCTAGTTCGCACATTGGCATTTCGAGTGTGATAGACTGCATTACAACCGCTTGTGGCCACTTACAAGAGAACAACAAATTGGTGGCACCCGTCGGGCTGCCCTCTCTTCCAATATGTGTCCATTTTACATATGATTATTTCATTGTGCACCTGAAACATTACTGGGATTTTTAATGTTACTAGCGGGGTTCCATGTTTTTAGATGAATCCGAAAAAATCAGAGGAACACTCGCCGGTAAAGTTTCTGTTAACTCGGATTTATCCGAAAAACTCACAATTTTGAGTTCCCGATGGCAAACTAAAAGGCAGAAAGACGGTGTTTTACAAATTTCGTTAAGAGTACTGGGTCAGTGGTCACGAGGAGAGGCCACTTTAATTTTATTTGAAATCTTGAAATCGTCAAGGTTCATTCAGGGCAATGGCTCACGACAAAAGCCATTGTTTAGGTTTCTAATGTGGACCATACTATTTGTGTGCTTCTTAGAGCAAGGACAGGTAGTGTTTTTATAACATTGATAGCTATGAACCTGTATATTTCAATGAAGGGGCAGAGCGGCTAGAGCTTCCGTGCTTCCCAGCGGCTGCGTCCAAGATTTAGTTATTCATAAGTATTGAATGTTGTTGAGGAAAACACTTCTTTGCAATATTTGTCGTGAGATGGTTAGTATTGCCAATGGCAAGGGATGCAATGTCAAATACAGCTGCAGAAAGATTATTCGATCTAATGAATTTAGGGTATGTTTGTGTCCAGGCTTGTTTTATTTTTTTTCTGAAAATTAAAAAAAATTGGGAACACAGGTAAATTAAGTTAATTATTATAAATCTAACAAATTTAAACTTCAATAAACCATGATTTTTCGGAGGAAGACGAACTCAGAATTTTACGAAAAATGAACTCCGCAAACACGGAATCCTTGTCATAGGTGACCATGCATCTGTCATAGATGTGCCCAGACCTGATCTCGCAAATATTGTACAACCTTGAGACTATTGATACAGAGATAGAAAGTGTTCCAAGGCTACGTGGTAGATAGTATTCTCTTGTCGTAAACAGTCACAAGCAGATGCACCGCTGTCGGCCATACTCAAATGCACATGTTTGAAGCAGCCAGCCTTTAGAGGTACAGTTAGAAACAGTACTTTGGAAGAAAGATAATAATAAAATCTTATTTATGCCACCCAATATTCAATGCCTCCCCTCAACACAAATGTTTTAAAGAGTCAACCTCGCAGGAATGAAACTGAACAAAGACAGCAAAAAGACAACAGTGGAGTAAGTAGAAAGAGAAGGCAACCAACTTTCTGCAAGTTGCTGTAACGCTTCACCACCTCTTGAAACTCATTGCGGAGCCGGTCTGACTGAAGCCTCAGTTGCTGTTCAAGGAAAGAGGAGCAGAGTGAGCTTCGATTACAAAACGGGATATGTTGTGCCCTGCTGATTAACACTTTCTCAGTTACTTACTCACCTTATCTGCAGGTCCAATTAAGCCAGCCAGATCATGCAACGAGGCTGAGGTCATCTTGATGGTAGCATTTGCATTCTGCTGGGTCAAATGACTGCAAAAGACAGTTTTTGCACCAACGCAGCTATCTCTGTCTCTCTCTCTCTCTCTCTGATCTTTTCAATGCAGCAAGAAGGAGTTTGCCACATCAAAATGCAAGTGGCAAGGCAATCTAAAGGTGAATACTGCAGTTGTATTCTTAAGTCAAATTTGCTCAACACAAATTGCTTGTTCTAAAATCACTCACATCTTGTCTCTGAAGGCTTCTGTGTCTGCCTGAGTGCCAAGCTGCTTTGTTGCCCGTTCAAGAGTTGATGCTGTGGACAGCGAGGTTTTCAGGACATACAAGACAGCCAGGTATCGCAAATGACACAACACATGCATTCAACATCACTTCAGTTTACCGGTCACTGCTCATAGTTACGGCACCGAATGACATGTCCTCGTAAGAAGAGACTAAAGCGCACTCACTTGCAGTATTAATGGAGAAGATATTCGAACTGATGTTGTCAGAAAGCTGGTGGAAGCGCTGTACAGGATCTGAAATCATCAAAACGACAGACATGTCCTACATCAGTACTAACTTCGGGTCTTGGCATAACTGGCTGATCGCTCTGTCTGTTAGAAACCACGAAAAAAAAAAATTACGTTCACGACTTACTTGACATTCTGGAAGGACTTGCAGCTGACCCAAAGCCCTGCGTAGTGCTTCCGTAGTTTTGGGCGTTCCTGCCTCCGGGACTGTTCCACAGCGACATTGCGACCTAGAATTCCCACGAGAAAACGGTGAAAATATTTTCATCCTCCGAACAGGCGGTTTTCAGTCGCATTTCGTTGCATGGACACAGCAAAGGAATGAAGCGAGAACCATCAACGAAAGTGACGCAGCTGGCGCCACAGAAAAAAAGTAAACAAACCTGAGCACAGGACCTGAAACTCCTACCGACAATCGCTGCACTGCGTTTAAATATGCACTCCACAGTTAGGAATTACCAAGAGGAAACAGTACAGTTACCTTGCGCGGTAGTATCACTACCGTTCCGCCAGTGTCCAAATCACGAATTCGATAACGAAGACTTATCGCGAGCAGTTCATCCCACCGCCTCTATCGTATCACTTGCTGTCGGAGATTTCAAGCGCTGATAATTAGCTTTCGAATCGTACAACTGGCATCAGCTGCGTTCCATAAAGCGGGCATTGATTAGTAAACGAAGCAACCGCTACACCAATACCGCATTGTACACAACGCCCCAATCATCCCTTGGTAAATTCGGAGCAACAGCACAGAAGGAACAGAAATGGCTTTGGATAGCTTTGGCTAAGCGTCACTGGATCGGTCGACCGGCTTCGGTATGGCTACTTGACTTGTGACGCTTCTAACGTGTTTTGATCCTTACTGGCTAGATGGCGGCACTGGCGCATATCCCGCATATTACAAACTGGCTGACATAGTTTTGCGGGAAATTTGAGCCTCCCTTCAACAATATGTGAATGCCTCAAGAATTATCAGGATTGCAAACATAAAAGGAGCCTCTAAACAGGGAACAAGCGACAAATATCTTTAAAACATTACCGTGTTTGTGCGAGAGCAAACTGCAAAACTCGAAACTAAATGTTGTTTAAACGTGTTCTTTTTTTTATTTTTTATTTTTTTTTTAAATACAGTCGGCATGTTTAGCCGAGTACAGTATAAAAATGCCCCGAATTATTACCATCGGATTATGGACGTTTTTTTTATTTGAGTCATCACACTCTTCATCTCTTAACATGGAGCATCTGTCTTTCCGTCATCTCTCGTATTCTTTCATATCCGACAAAAATCCCAGATTTTTGTTGTAGTTAGAATGGATGTTAAAACAAAGACAAACGCATAAAAGGCACAGCGGCATTGCTACTATTTCTACATTGGCCTGTCCCATATTCAAGTTTATCTTTCAATTACAAGCTGACTCTATGCAAGAAAATCAGCCAAAGCCATCTAAAGTTCACACGTCATTCAGAAGCAATCCTTACAAAATCACGCAGTAGTTTTCCTTCCCTAAACGCGCAGGGATCCTTTCCCCATGCTTTTAGGGTTTCTTGCAAATAGTTTACATTAATAGAATGTTATCATAATCAAATCCCATTCAAGCCGCAAATAAAATATGACCTCGCATAAGAACAAACAAAACTCCCCCTTTTTTTTTTTTTCCGATTGGTGGTTTTTTAACCGTGTGGACGTCGTCTGTTTGCCAATCGAGATCTCCGCTTCCTCGCCAATACGCTGCCCTGCCCGCGGAAAGCTACGAGCTAAAATAAACGAGATAAAACATGACACGGGACAAGAAAGAAATACAACAATAAGGCAGACGCGCTCGTGGCGGAGACGGGCCTTTTGTTGAGGGCGCGGGGTGGGCTGTCAGCCCAGCTGACGGCGCTGACAGGGAGCCCAGCCGAGCCGGCCGTCGTACAGAGAAGAAGATGCGGCGGGCTCTTCTTCGCCGCGGTTTTCGTACAAAACAAGCGCGAGCCACCTGTAAATTTGCACTCTCCAGGGTGAAGGCTGGGTCAGGACCGAGGATGGGACGACGTCGTAAAAACGCGTTTTACGGCGGTGTCCCACTTTGACTGCCCCCTCCTTGCGAACGCACCTTTTCTTTTTTTCTTTCTCTTCTTTCTCTCATTTACGACGTGGGGCCTGCAGGGCTTGGTGTGTGAGTGCGCGACCACAGTCCGCTTCATTACTTTGCGATGGACCGCAGCGGAAGCTACGAGCCATTCCAGCCAATCGAGCACGCTGGGAACGTAGATCACGTGACTATAGAATATGCCCCCACCTGGTGTGGGCAAAACGGGTTTGTTTGGAAACACTGTGCTGCTGCACGTATATGCATGCTCAGAACATATATGTCTGCCGACAATTTTTGTACGGCCCCAGGCAGTGTTTGCTAGACACAGTCTTTTGTATGGCGTAGTATAGTATTTATTAGCTGTGTGCGCGCGACTTTACAGAAATACGAGCATGGTGCCGCCGTGCGGTCGTATGTATCACTATACTGTGTGGTGCACGTCAGAGACCCTGCAGGCTAGCAGTTGTACTGGCTAAATTTCTCATCCGCAGCTGAAACACCAGACGCCCACTGAGGCTAACTTATTTCCGACTGTCCAGAGGCAGTTTACCCGACGAGCTGATGACGGGACCGATCGGACGACGTCAAAAGTGTACTACGCATGGGGTTCGTCGTGGATCTTGCGCGTGTTCTATCGTCGCTGAACCATAATTTGTACATTTGATGTTGTGCTTGTGTTGTGTTTCTTCTTTTTATCTTCTCGTGTGCGCCAATGTGAAGACCCGCGTGGTTGTTTTGGGGCACATAAAATCAACATTATTATTATTATTATTATTATTATTATTATTATTATTATTATTGTTATTATTAACAGATAAGGCCTAGTGACTTGCGCGTGTGTGTCTTCCTTTGCTTACCGTGCATTCTCGAGGTTACATGTTATGTCTAATCTTCACCAGCTCGTTTGCGCTCTGGCTTTCTGTTCGTGTAACTACGCGTCACTGCGTCCAAATCGAAGGTCACGTGACACAAAAAACGGCATCGGATTGGCTTCGACGGCTCGCATAGCGTCTTTCGAGTTCCATTGTTAGGTGAAGCGGAGTGTGTGCGATGCGAGATGGCGTCGTCTGAGCAAACGATCGCACCGTTCTCTCGGCTCGCTTCGTCCCCCTGCTTCGGCAAGGTGCGGATATTTTGCTCACGCCAAGACCTGTCGGTTGGATGCGTTCGTACGTCCAGCGATGACAGGTTGTGTGGTCGTCGTTCAACCTGTACCGGCTTCGGCGGTTCTCGGGAGGGACAAAATTATACTCGAATAAATAAATGGGCGCGTTCGAAGGTGGAACGGATAGTGCAGCGGTAGTCATTGCATGTGTGCCACACGGGTAAGATGGCTTAAGTTCGTCTCTCCTAAAAGGCATCTTAAAGAGGATATTCGTGTAAATGATTTTCGAGGAGATGAGTTAGGCCCTCATATCAATGTCCTTGAAAGATTTTTAAAAGAAATTACTCCGAGCAAAAAATTATATTTTTATCGCATCTTCAATGCGGACGTTGGCGACGTAGACTACACTAAGAAAATCGCTTCGTCACACACGGATGCACCAAAAGTATTTCCATTTCACTTCGAGCTATCACACTGTCAACGCAAAAAAAAAAAAGTATTAAAAAAAAACTATCATTTTTATACGTAGCATGTTCCAACAACTTGCACGTATGCGGCTTGTGCAGGTGAGTTATACGGCCCGGGGGGGGGGGGGACATAGTATATGGGGCTAATTATAACGATCAGTCGGCTGATTAATTAAAACTCGATAATTAACTTTTTAATTAGTGGACGTAGACACATGGTTTCAATTAGAAACTTACAGAGCGTCATCGAAAACCCCTAAATACGCTCTTTTTAGAACGACTTGAAGCTCGTGGGAAACTCGAGGGCGCACCAAAGTTACCACTCATGCAGCAGGCGCAGAGCTAGCAGTGGCGGAACGCGGTAGTGGTTTTTGATGACGCTCAGTGAGTTTCTACTTCATATTTCATATGAAGTATAAAACACCGTTTTTACTTCATATTTCAAGTGATTCTGTTTTTTTTTTTTTTTTTTTGCTTGGATAGCAATGTGGGCGGATGTGACCGTACGCCCACTCAGGGAGGACAGCGGCTGAAGGGGGTGGTTATCATTTGAACCCGTTCGGATTTCTTTCCACCTTCTCGTTTTCACCTTCTCATTTCAGCCCAGTGCAAAACAACTTTCGCTTTCCTCCCTTTCTCACTTAAACCGTTCTCAAAACAAACTTTCGGGTTTTGACCATTCTGAAAACGACTTTTCTCATTTTAACCCTTCTCCTTTCAAACATTCTGGTGTTGACCATTCTCAAAAAGACTTTTCTACGCACTTTAAACTTTCTCCCCCCCCCCCCCCCCCCCCCCCTTTTTAAACCTTATTAAAACATACTTTCTTGTTTTGACCATTCTCATAACTACTTTTTAAAATTTTAACCGTGTGTATAATCAGGTCAGGGAAAAGCAATAATTTACAGCATACACTCACGGGAAACCGAAATAAAGGAACCGATGACATTATGAACTCCGGGCACCCGAAGCTTTATTACGCCTTGAAATGCTTCTTGGAGAATGACTAGTGCTCGCCAATCAGTGTTGGGAAGTTATTTAAGTACATTGCACTTAAAGATAACACTTCAAGTAGGTTTAGGAAAGTTGTACTTTACTTGAAGTACATGCATTCTCTGAGTATGTACTTGTACTTTACTTAAATATATTTTTTTTCTGGTACTTTCCGAGAAAAGTGCAATTCCCGATTTCAAAGTACATACCACAAATTTGATTTTGCTAAATTTGTACCACGAAATGATGCTTTGTCAACTCTGAAAAAATACTGGGAGGGATACTCTCACCAGAAACGTAAGCAGACGACGCATCGCTCCGTTTGGTTTGGGGGCGGCTTTCCTGTAGCTTTTTGAATTTTCGTTACTTCTCGGTCGGTCAGCGCAAGCGAGGAGGCTTAAAATCTTAGGAGAGCAATATTAATCATAATGTAGCACCTGAGACTGTGGTGCGGAGAGAGAGAGAAGGGTTTATTAAGGAAGGACAGAGAGGTTAACCTGAACGTAAGTTCTGGTTGGCTACTCTGTACTGGGGAGAAGGGGGAGGGGGAAGAAAAGGCATGACGATGAGGAAGAAAGATGAGGTGAAGTTGTCAATGAGGGTGAGCTATGGTACAAATGTTCAAGATCTCACAGGCATTTTTAAGCACCCTACAAAGTGTCTGATAATTCCGTGTTCGTGAGGAACATTACCAAGGCCTTCGTGGCCTTCATGAATTGGTCAGTTGTGTCCCAGGCACCAAGCACTTTTGATGAGCAGAAAGGCCGCGAGTCCAACGCCATTAATTTCTGTTCCAGCACTTGTCGATCCTCTTCGAATTTATCACATTCACACAGGATGTGTTGAATTGTCCCTTCAACTTCGCAGCTTGGACAGTTCGAGGAATCTCTCCTTTGAATCCGATAAAGGAACTGCGGTGTATATGCCACACCAAGCCTTAGTCGGTGCAGGACCGCCTCTAGCTGTCTTGAAAGTTCAGATGGAACGCGGAATGCAAGTTGGGGATCAAGGGAGTATAGCCTGGGATGGTGGTAATGTGGATTCATCCAGTAGTTTTGTGAAATTGCTTTTGCCACGTCTTGAACTAGAATTTTCGTGTCACACCTGGAGTAGGGTATGCAAATTTTCTTGCCGTTACTGGTTG